GGAGTACAGGAGAATATTGCAGCGTGGCTTGCTTTCCACAAATGAAAAGAGGAATGATCAGATGTTATAGTTCAACAAGACAAAGTTCCTGTCCAAATCAGCGCAGTCTCATCCCAAGACGTCATATAACTGACGTCTTGGGACGTCTTTTGACCATACGTCAACATCCGCCTTTTTAGGGCACCCTTAAACGTCCGTTATCGGATCCTAAACCTACCCCAGACCTAAACCTACCCCGTCACCGGCCATTCCGTGCCGTTATCTACAGTATTTGTGCAATTCTTGCTAATTTCCCTGACCAGTGATTTGTGATTAAAATGGTTAAGACCATCAAAAGACCACTAAATATTTTGCCATTTTTGGCTTGGCCCATTTTTTATTGCTTATTACTTTGCCCTGGAGTGTACAGATTATTTAACCGGTTCAAAAAACAAAACAGAAGATACAGATTGTTTATTAGTAAGTGCCTGAATATCTTTCACAGATCTGATTAGTACTCCCTCATAATATCCACCAGTTTTTATCAGTCTTTCACGTTAAAAAATAGCCCGTGCATCCTGACTCATGGAAGTGTAATCTAACGTTTGCTTGCAATTTTTCTCAGGCACTTTCCAATTTTGTGTGCACTATGCGTCAGACCGTCAGCGAATGTTACTGTGGGTGGTCTCCGTGTCCGTCTGCAGTGAAGCTCAGCCTTAAAGGAAGGAGCCGCAATTGATGTTGTTTTCATTTCTCATGCAGAGTGACAGGGAGTTCTGTCTGTGTGAATATCAAAGCAGTAATTAATGCTGTATATCTCATGGTAATCCTCAGAGGGCTGTACAACCGCAGCCATTCGGTGCAGTGTCTGTGGTAGGTGTTTGTTTGGCTGTGAGACCCCGTTACTCATTTCTTAGTCGGCTTTGATCTCAGAGGTATCGGCTGGCACAGGTGTCTATGCTTGGAAACTGACCACAGGCAGAGAGATCTATAACCACAGAGACAAGCAAGTTTAACTCACCTGGTATTCCCCTGCGCTCACTCACTGACTCTTTAGTTGTTCCCAATAGAGCGCTGTAGGATTATTAGGAACACCATACTAATACTGTGTTTGACCGCCTTAATTCTTTGTGGTGCTGAAAGCATTATTTCGAAATGTTGGCCCATATTGATAGGATAGCATCTTGCAGTTGATGGAGATTTGTGGGATGCACATCCAGGGCACGAAGCTCCCGTTCCACCACATCCCAAAGATGCTCTATTGGGTTGAGATCTGGTGACTGTGGAGGCCATTTTAGTAGAGCCAGACCGATATATCGGCAGACAGATATTATCGGCCGATATTTGGGATTTTCCAAACTATCGGTATCGGCAGTTATAATGGCCGATAAATGAATATTTCAAAAATAAAATAAAAACGGACGAAACACGCTTGAACCATGTCATGAGAGTTGGAGTTGTATAGATTGTCCACCAGAGGGCGCTCTACACCGTTCCTGTTGGCAACAATCGTTGAGTTGGTCACGATACATACAGTATATTGCTTGAATAGTTCTCTTAACTGAAATAAGCATGACAAAATTTGTGCAATTTGCAGTATGACATTATCCATTACTAAATTATGGCTCATCATAGACTAGCTAACCACAAAGCTAGCTAATGCAACTCTCATCAGTTTGTTCTGTTGCAACAATAAAAGAAACAAGTTTATTTTTAAAATGCATTTGCATATTATTTTAGTTAAAATTCATAAATAATTACAAATAACTAATGTTAGGGAAATCTGTTAATGTTGTGTTGCGCATTTCTGAAAAAAAATAAATAAATAAACATCGGCCGATATATCGGAATATCGGATTTTAAAACCCAAAAAATATTTGTATCGGTATCGGCCTTCAAAATCCTTTATCGGTCGGGCTCTACATTTTAGTACAGTGAACGCATTGTCTTTATTTAAAAAATGATAATTATGAAAATTTTTGTTTGACTAGTTTGCGAGAGCGCGATTAAAAAAGCAATGACACTCTGAATGAGTAGTGAGTAGATACGTTTATCTGTTGATGACGTTTACTGTCCTTGAGAACCTCTATAATCACATTTTACTAACGTATTATACGTCAACATGAAAATAGCTTGTGTTTACCACAGACCTTATTTCAGGCCTTTAACCGGAAACCCATTTTTAAAAAGCCATTGAATTTGGGACAATGGAATCAGAAGTGCTAAAATACTCCATGTTTTGGCTTACAAAAATACATCATCCCTGCAACAGTCTATTGTCGTTTTATTTTTTCCCATGCTGCTTATTGGCATATCTCACTAACAATCGCTAGTTTAAATGGCCTCGTCATCTTTCTCAACAGCAGTGGTTCTCAATCACAACACTTTACTGTATTCAACTAAACGAAAATGTCATGCCTGTTTCTTAATTTTAATATATACACTACATTTTTACATCAGCAGGGCAGAATGTGATCAGAAAACATTTTACATTTATGCATTTATCCAAAGCAGCTAACATTGCGTGAAAGGTACAAATTTCACCAGTTCATCATCAGTCATCAGGCGACCCGCTCCGAGCAGGATTCGGGGCAAGGGAGGCGGGCGTGCTAACAAGGATGTAGCCGCTAGCATCAGTTGCTAATGTGACTTTTGAGGCCAGGGGAATGAGGTTTACACGCAAAGCTCTTACTGGCCTAAACCGTCCCATCCGGGTCATGGCACCACATGTAACCGGTCCCACTAGTGCTGGTCGCTAGTGAGGGGGTTGAGGTTTACACGCACAGCTCTTATTCCTTGAGATTCGAACCCATGATCTCAGTGTTGCTAGCACCATGCTATACTGTTCGAGGAAAAAGGCTGAAAATGTTTAAAGATAGAGTACATTGCTCCAAATTATGAGGTATTAGTATGTTTGAATTGGATTGCGTGTGTTTTTTAAGGCTCCTCCATTGATCTGCAAGGGCCAAGCCAGTAGTTTCCAATCAAATGTGGTACTTGGCCTGAAACGTTTGACAAACACTGGAAAAATACTCCAAAAAGATTGGGAAAAGGTTACATGAATCAGCATTGGAAAGCCTGGTAAGATGACTGTGTGTGTGGTTGTGGTGGAACAACTGGTTTACGGTGACTCATACAGACATGCTGAGAAAACAGGGCGACTGTGTTCTTCTTAACTGGTTTTGCTTCAAGACCCAGATTTGACCTTTTTTTTTTACATCCAGACAAAATACATAAAAATTATAAAAGTAAAAAATATTCAAGTATATAATCAAACATTAAAGCTTATTAAAGGGGTCATATAATCAGAAATCAAATTGACCTTTAACTTTTGAGGGTTTGTACTAGTTTTAAGAAGATGATATAGTGAATTATTTGTGTTTTTGGAGAGGGTCTGTCCACAGATCTGTAAAGGGCCAGTCAAGGGATAGAAGCATGAAGCATGATCTTTAACTATAGGAATATTGATATTAATCAAATTATGGCATTTGAGGTATTTGTTTGCTTAATGCTGGATGGTTGTATGTTCTAAATCGTCCAGAGGTAAAACTTGGCCTAAAATGTATACATTTATGAATGAAGGCTGGTGTGCTTCCAGTTACAAAGGTACACAACCATTGAAAAGTTTAAATTCGGTATGATTTTTTAAATGCTTTTTAAAGAATGGTCATCAAAGCTGCATTTATTTGATTGAAAACACAGTAAACGGTAATATTATGAAACGCGGATTACAATTTCAAATAAGTGTTTTCTTTTTGAATGTATTTTAAATGTAATTTATTTAATTTCCTTTAGTAAAGCTGAATTTTCAGCATCATTACTCCAGTCTTCACCCTAACCCTAATGGATTATAACATAATTAATACGAAAAAAAAATAAAAAAATTTTGCAATCCATTTCAATGTCACATGATCCTTCAGAAATCATTCTAATATGCTGATTTGATGCTCAAGAAACATTTCTTACAATTATCAATGTTGAAAACAGTTTAAAGGTGACCTATTATGTCTCTTTTTACAAGATGTAGCCTAATATAAGTCCTTTGTGTCCACATAATCTGTGAATTTTCAGCTCAAAATACCTCACGTTATTTATTATACCATGTCCGAAATGCCCCTTTTTGGGTGGATGCAAAAACATGCTGTTTTCGTGTGTGTGTATCTTTAAATGTAAATGAGCTGAGAAATGTAAATACATCTAGTGCGTTTACATAAAAAAACAACAAAAAAGTAGCACAGTGGAACTGAAAAACACGATATGTGTTCATTGATACAGCCAACAACAAAACATTAGGGGAGGAGCTAAGCTTATTCGATCCTGTTGCCAGTCGGGGGCGTGGCTTTTTACATTGTGATGTCATAATGTATAGAAAATGCGAGCGACTCATTTTGAGACACTGTTCATGATTCACAGGGAATAAAAAAAGGAGAGGGTTGATTTTTTTACCATTATAGGGTGGTTGTGTATACACACTGCTAACACACATTTATGTTCAAACACCATGTAAAGGTGAATTTTGCATAATAGGTGCCCTTTAATATTTTTGTGGAAACCTTGATGCACGTTTTAAGGATATTCTGATAGAAAGTTCAAAATAACAACATTTGTTTGAAATACAAATCTTTCTTAACCTTATCAATGTCTTAACTGGTCTTAATGTCTTAACTGATCAATTTAATGCGTCCTTGCAGAATAAAAGTATTAATTTGATCAAACGCTGCCTCTAATTGATGTTATATCAGCCCAGGTCAGCGTTCTGTCTCCAGCATTGGCTTTGTTGTGGAGGATGTGCTGTGAAATGTTGTCACGGTAACAGTGTGTAAGAAATAGGACATCTTGCACATTGAATTCCTGATTATTTTTGAAGTGCTTCAGCCCGTGGAGTGGGGTTAACCTGATCGCCGTGTTCACCTCCCCCCTTCGCTTCTGTTGACGCTTCTGCTTTAAAATGCAGTAATAACGCAAAATAAAATATTAACAGCATGTTTCTGAATGTAGCGTTCTGTTTGTTTTCTTCACAGGTGGAGATTCACGTTTTACCTGTACATATTTACTTATGGCGTGCGGTTCCTGAAGAAGGTAAACAATCTGTTTTGACTGAAAAATTGATGGTCAATGTGAAGCAGTAAATCTTTTATGATTGACATTTTGATGCATCCAGTATTTTGCTTTGCCCTCAGTCTTATTGTTTCCATAAAACACTCAGAGTTGTTGACAGGATGTTGTCGAGCAGAGAAGCGTTTCAGTTTTTTATTTACATATTTGGTATCACGACTACAAAATGAGTTATTCTTCGTACTGCTTTTCATCATCTCTTGGGGTTTTGTGGAGCGAACTTGCAGGCAAAATGAAGTTAGAGAGATGTCAGCTTTGACTTGATTTTGATTTTATTTGTTGCGTCGTACTGTGCGATGAGAGACAGCATCCATAAACTCTCTTTCTCTCTCTCTCTCTGCACTTCCTCTCATAAATCTATTCATAATTCATCAGTCCATCCATAATGCAGATTATTTCTCTCCAAGCAAACATGTTTGGCAGAGCTGGCCCCTTCTTTGACTCTTCAATGAAGCAATTAAAGGAAAGTTCACACAGAAATAAAGACACTTCCATTATTTACTCACCCTCATGTTGTTCCAAACTAGAGTTGCACGATACATCGCAAATGGAGTTAAATGGAGCTTATCATCAGTGCTGCAATATGCATTGGGATATATTTTCAATGCATTAATCTGTGAAGTTTATGGAGATGCCACAAAAAGACTAACAAATTAACAAGCGGTGGATTGGATGGATGGATGGATGGATGGATGGATGGGTGGATGGATGGGATGGATGGATGGTGGATGGGAGCGTGGGTGGTTTGGATTGATGGATGGTGGATGAGAGGGTGGGTGGGATGGATGGATGGTTTGGATGGGAGGGTGGGTGGATGGGAGGGATGGGTGGATGGATGGATGGTGGATGGGAGGGATGGGTGTATGGATGGGAGGGATGGGTGGATGGATGGATGGATGGTGGATGGAAGGGATGGGTGGATGGATGGATGGATGGTGGATGGGAGGGATGGGTGGATGGATGGATGGATGGTGGATGGGAGGGATGGGTGGATGGATGGATGGGTGGTGGATGAGAGGGTGGGTGGGATGGATGGGTGGTTTGGATGTGAGGGTGGGTGGTTTGGATGGATGGATGAGAGGGTGGGATGGATGGATGGTGGATGGGATGGATGGATGGTGGATGGGAGGGTGGGTGGATGATGGATGTATGGTTTGGATGGGAGGGTGGTTTGGATGGATGGATGGGAGGTGGATGGATGGATGGTGGATGGGAGCATGGGTGGTTTGGATTGATGGATGGTGGATGAGAGGGTGGGTGGGATGGATGGATGGTTTGGATGGGAGGGTGGGTGGTTTGGATGTGAGGGTGGGTGGATGGGAGGGATGGGTGGATGGATGGATGGTGGATGGGAGGGATGGGTGGATGGATGGTGGATGGGAGGGATGGGTGGATGGATGGGATGGATGGATGGATGGTGGATGGGAGGGATGGGTGGATGGATGGTGGATGGGAGGGATGGGTGGATGGATGGATGGGTGGTGGATGGATGGATGGATGGTGGATGGGAGCATGGGTGGTTTGGATTGATGGATGGTGGATGAGAGGGTGGGTGGGATGGATGGGTGGTTTGGATGTGAGGGTGGGTGGTTTGGATGAATGGATGGGAGGTGGGATGGATGGATGGTGGATGGGATGGATGGATGGTGGATGGGAGGGTGGGTGGTTTGGATGGATGGACGGTGGATGAGAGGGTGGGTGGGATGGATGATGGATGTATGTTTGGATGGGAGGGTGGTTTGGATGGATGGATGGGAGGTGGTTTGGATTGATGGATGGTGGATGAGAGGGTGGGTGGGATGGATGGATGGTTTGGATGGGAGGGTGGGTGGTTTGGATTGATGGATGGTGGATGGGAGGGATGGATGGATGGATGGTGAATGGGAGGGATGGGTGGATGGATGGATGGGTGGTGGATGGATGGATGGTGGATGGGAGCATGGGTGGTTTGGATTGATGGATGGTGGATGAGAGGGTGGGTGGGATGGATGGATGGTTTGGATGTGAGGGTGGGTGGTTTGGATGGATGGATGGGAGGGTGGGATGGATGGATGGTGGATGGGATGGATGGATGGATGGTGGATGGGAGGGTGGGTGGTTTGGATGGATGGATGGTGGATGAGAGGGTGGGTGGTATGGATGGGTGGGATGGATGGATGGATGGATGGGAGGGTGGGTGGTTTGGATGGATGGATGGTGGATGGGAGGGTGGGTGGATGGATGGCGTTTGTGTGTCTTTATAGAAACTAGGTTAAAGTTGAGCAGCTTGAACTTGCATGGCAAAGTCTTCTACTGAATGAGTTAATTTACTCGAAGTGCTCCCAATCACTTGCTGTGGTTTTCCGCCATACAATAGTTATCCATTTTGCACGCTTAGAAAAGTGCAACCTTTATTTTGTGTCACCGTCCAAAGTCGAGTTACACTACTCGAGTATCTGTATTTAAATAGGGAAAACGTGGAGGTGTTTGGTCAATTCTCTGCTTGGCCCATATTGAATGAACTGGCCTAGTTAAGTGCTAACAAAGTGTCTCGCGCGCCAGAGCGATTGAAACAACAGGTATGCATCAACTTGTCTTAGTTAAGGGAATAACATAGTTTGATATGAAAAAAACAGTGGAGTATCCCTTTAAATACACATTTTTCACACCTTTAGTTAATTGGAATATATCATTTTCTGTAAAACTAACTTTCGTCTCTTTATACATTTCAGCAAATTCCCTCAATGATAGTTAAGACAAAGAGTTTTAAAAACAATCAATAAATAAATGCAACCAACAGGCAAGAGAAAACAAATATTTCCATTTGCACAACTGATATTTCCTAAATGAGTTAAAATGAGCATTTCCTGCCACCCAGGGTGTGCCCATCCCTAGAGGTTAGGCCCATTCCTCTAACCACAGGAAATGAAACCATAAAACTCCACATTAACATTTACAATATGCATGATCTGAATAACACAGTTTTGAAGGATAGAGAAACAACACTGGCTCTCCATCACAGATAAGTTCTCAGTGAGGATTTTGAACCCTTGAAACAAACAAACTAGCTGAATCACAACAAAATAGTGTTAGTGCTGAATAGATTTTACACAGAAGAAAAAACATATACCTCTGGTTTCACAGACAAATCTTAAATCTAGTCCCAGATGCATGTTTGAGCTGTCTTAACTGAATGCAACTTGCACTGACATTTCTTAAAAGGATTTTTGATAAACAAAGTTGACCTAATTTAAGATTCACAAAGATAAAATTTGACAAGATTCACATCAGTAATGTTTTTTGTCTAAGGCACATTTATAATAGCTACTTAAATGTCCTTTTGAAATAAGTCCTATTCCTGGCTTAATCTAAGCCCTGTTTGTGAAACCAGGGACCAGTTGCATAAACATAGCCATTTTGTTAAGATAGTGTCTTAAGAACTAGCTTGAATGACTAGCAGTTAGTTATGGGTCATTAGTCTTACTGTTCAGGAATCAAATTAGTCCAATGTACGTTTTTATGTAACTTTAAAAAGTTATGAACAGTCTTGAAGAAATAAATTGGCTGACTAACTCGTAAGACTAGTCTTAGCAGTTTATGCAACTCGCCCCGGGCCTAAAGCACTTGATTCTACTTGCCCTGGTGAGATTTCACTGTTGTTTTTGCAGTATTGATAGTTTAACTTGTATAAAGAGCATAATAGATATTAGCACCTTAAAGGGATACTCCACTTTTTTTGGAAATAGTCTCATTTTACAACTCCCTCAGAGTTAAACTGTTGAGTTTTACCGTTATTAAATCCATTCAGCCGATCTCCGGTTCTGGCGGTACCACTTTTAGCATAGCTTAGCATAGACCATCGAAGTGGACAAGACCATTAGCATTTCTCAAAAAAAAAAAAAAAAAAATGACCAAAGAGTATCAATATTTTTCCTATTTAAAACTTGACTCTTCTGTAGTTACATCGTACACTAAGACCGACGGAAAATGTAAAGTTGCGTTTGAAAGCGCCTGAAAATAGTCTCCAGCTCGGTAACTTCCAACGTGACGGAAGGTAGCTTATTTTCAGGTAGCTACACTCATGGTACAGCAGTAAAGTTTCTCGATTATTACGCAGGAATGAGAGTATAGTTCCTAGCTATATCAGCCTAGGAAATCGCTACTTTACATTTTCCGTCGGTCTTATGGTGTGTTCACACTGAATGCGAATTGAGCGTCAAACACGCGACTATCGCGTCTAGTTATACGCTTGAACATTTTGAACCCACTCGCGAATAAAGAAAAACAACAACACAATTTCTTTCTGGCATACGTTTCCGTCATGTCTGAAATATAAGATATTGTTGCTCTGTACTTGTTGTGGATGTCCCAAATACGGAGGAAAGCCAAACGCCGACGTGTCTAGGTTCACAGCACCAGAAGATGACACCAACTACAGGCTTTCCGTCTCAGCTGCGGAGCGCCTTTCCATCTGTCTCAGGTCAGCGACAGTTTCATAAAATAAAGTCACCACCAATAAATATACAGCATATATCGTTTTTGCTGTGATTTAATTACAATACATGTTTGAAAAAAATGACAAAGTATCATATATTTCAAAGGCGGCAACAATCAGAATCTCCTTTATTTTCGACAACAGTGATAGACCGGACGTATCGATTAGCTCTTCGTTGATTGGCTGGCACAACAAAGTGTCATGCGAATCTTCCGCTCGAGTTCAAATTTTTCAACTTGCGCGGAAGACGTTCGCGGCAAAACGCGTCGCCCAACTCGCGTCATTCGCAACGCCTGGCACGAATGATGCGTCTATTCACGTCTTTGCATTGACTTTGTATGTAATCTACTCGCGCAAACGATTAAATTCGCGTTCGGTGTGAACACACCATTACTGCATGATGTAACTACAGAAGAGTCAAGTTTTAAATAGGAAAAATATCGAAACTCTTTGGTCATTTTTTTTTAGAAATGCTAATGTCCACTTCAATGATGTATGCTAAGCTATGCTAAATGATCGGCTGAATGAATTCATAAACGGTAAAACTCAACAGTTTAACTCTGAGGGTGCTATAAAATGAGACTATTTCCAAAAAAAGTGGAGTATCCCTTTAAGTGATGCCTCCTAGAGTGATGCTAGTTTGGATCCGCAAGCCTTTGGTTTCCTTATTCTTGTATATGTGGCCTTTGAGAAAGATGCTGTGATGTACAGTAGATAATTAGCCAAGAGTTGCATTCGATTGGATCATCTTGTCAGCATTCTCAAAACCCAACAGCAGATCATACAGGAAATCATCAGCTTCACCATACCAGGCTTTTAACTTTCCTACATGATGATGTGGTTTATCGAGAGGGGGAAAAGTGAATTCAAAGCATTTCAATTATGTAGCATTGAGGATAATGATTGTATTTTCAGTCTTTTTCTATGCTTTGATGTAAACAGCAGAATTCAAAAGCTCTTTCAAAAGAAATGTTCTCGTAAAAAGATAATTTGTCTAAAAAGCTCTGGAGATAATTTGTCTCTCTGTGTTTGATTTTAAAGACCCCGTGGCTGTGGAACACCCGAGAGTGCTGGTACAATTACCCCTATCAGGTACAATTATACTGTTTCTTATATCAATTATAATTATTGAAGGGTTCGTCACACACTATCATACTTTTTTCTGGAGATCCACCGGCTATGTAAAGGTTTTTATTAGACCTTCTCTGAATCTTAGGCCCTGTTTACACCTGGTATTAAGATGTGTTTTGGTCGATCGGATCGCAAGTAGACGAGGGATTTCAGTTTAAATAATGAATAATGAATCAAATAATGCCATTCTTACATTTTTAATAAAAACCAAACTAGGGTTCACAAAAAATGAATTCAATAACTAAATCATAACTTTTCAAATTATTTTGAAATAAAAATATATATATTTTATTAAATAAATGTATTTAAAATTACATGTTTTTTTAAAGATTAAAAATGTTATACCTGCATGTGAATAATGAATCAAATAATGCCATTATTAAATTTTTTATAAAAACCAAACTAGGGTTCACAAAAAATGAATTCAATAATTAAATCATAACTTTTCAAATTATTTTGAAATAAAAATATATATTTTTTATTAAATAAATGTATTTAAAATTACATGTATTTTTTTTTAAAAGATTAAAAATGTTATACCTGCATGTGAATAATGAATCAAATAATGCCATTATTACATGTTTAATAAAAACCAAACTAGGGTTCACAAAAAATGAATTCAATAATTAAATCATAACTTTTCAAATTATTTTGAAATAAAAATATATATTTTTTTATTAAATAAATGTATTTAAAATTACATGTTTTTTTTAAAGATTAAAAATGTTATACCTGCATGTGAATAATGAATCAAATAATGCCATTATTACATTTTTAATAAAAACCAAACTAGGGTTCACATAAAATGAATTCAATAATTAAATCATAACTTTTCAAATTATTTTGAAATAAAAATATATATTTTTTTATTAAATAAATGTATTTAAAATTACATGTTTTTTTTTTAAAGATTAAAAATGTTATACCTGCATGTGAATAATGAATCAAATAATGCCATTATTACATTTTTAATAAAAACCAAACTAGGGTTCACAAAAAATGAATTCGATAATTAAATCATAACTTTTCAAATTATTTTGAAATAAAAATATTTATTTTTTATTAAATAAATGTATTTAAAATTACATGTATTTTTTTTAAAAGATTAAAAATGTTATACCTGCATGTCATGTGACCATTAACCAATATGCTTATGTGTTGTTAAAATTGAAAAATATTTCACTTGACAAAAAAGATTTGGGAATCTCTGGTGTGATGTATTAAAATCCTCATTAGCGCCACTGCACTGACGATGTTGTGTATGACTTTTGTAGCCTCTAACCGTGGATTTGCACTACTACTACATACTGGAGCTGTCCTTCTATCTGTCACTGCTCTTCTCGCAGTTCACAGACATCAGAAGAAAGGTACGTGAGTTAGGTTTGGTTAGACGTATCTGCTTCAGTGGTTTGAGTTTCTCGTGAGAAAGCTTGCGCTGGGTTTATTAGCAGGGGCGTGCGGGTCTTGTTTCCTCTGCTGTGCACAGGCAAAACTTCCTTTTCAACGCTGAAAAGCATGACCGCTAATAACGTCTGCCACTTCATTTCAGCTTAAGCTTGCAGTGTTTAATATTCATCATCTAAGGGTTTAAATATGAAAAAATACATATTTATGCTCAGTATGCATGATCCATACCAAATTGAGTTAAGTTTCTTTGTGAATGTGTTGTTACATGTTAAAATTGCAGTTTTTCAATTGAATACTGTAAGTCAGTGAGAGCCTGATAAATCATTTATCTGATCTGTTCTGCTTTAAAAAATGTTTTGCAATCTAAATTGTTGCTAATTTGTTTTCAGCTTTGACATTTTTATTATAAATTGTGAATATTGCTAAAATAATATTGATCTATCTATCTACTTTTCAACATTGATATTAATCTTGAACAGTAAATCAATTAGAATGATTTCTGAAGGATCATGTGACACTGAAGACTGGAGTAATGATGCTTTTGCATGATGCATCACAGGAATACATATAAAAAAATATTTGACATTTTAATAATATTTTACAGTGTTTTACTGTATTTCGGATATCAAATAAATAGATCAAATAAATGGAGCCTTGGTGAGCAGAAGAGACTTTTTTAAACAGTCTTTTGAACACTAACTAACTAAATAAAAGCTCAAAACCTAAAGTCAGGAACTTTTTGTCTGCACATGGACCTTTTATAAATCTCTCGTTGGATATACATTATTCTATATTAACATTTATATCAGCTGTTATTGTGCCATGCCACACATCATTTGTGCTTTCACTGTGGACAGGCAAATGACTTGACACCTGGTTGGGACACGTCAGTCTTAAACAAATGTCATGTAAATGAATGCAAATGTAAAATCCCGAGTTTCTCAGAGCTTCATTGAGATCCACAGGCTCTGTAATCGAGCTCTCCCGCAGCTGCCGTATTGGGTTTGTGGTGTAACGCGGGAGATGCTCAGCCTGTGGACGGTTTCTCTCAAAGACTTCTTGAAATCGCAGTTAGCACCTGCAGTCTGGGCTTTAGATATTTTCTTTCTCTTCTTTCCTTTACAACCCCTCAGTGTCACACTCACTCGCTCTCATTTCTCTGCTCATTCTTGGCATGTTTTTTTCTGTTTTTTACAGTGTTTGCAAGGCAGCACATACTGCCAAGGATTTGGTGGAAACGGCTAACCCTTCGTTTTAAACTTCTGTAATTCATTTAGTTTGGACTGCTTGTGTGTGTGTGTGTGAGAGTGTGAGTGAGAGAGTGTGTGTGTGTGAGTGAGTGAGTGAGAGAATGAGTGTGAGTGAGTGAGAGTAAGAGAGAGTGTGAGTGTGTCTGTGAGTGAGCGAGAGTGAGTGTGTGAGTGAGTGAGCGAGTGTGAGAGTGAATTAGAGAGGGTGTGAATGTGTGTGTGAGTGAGAGTGAGTGAGTGAGAGTGTGAGTGTGTGTGTGAGTGAGTGTGTGTGTGTGTGTGTGTGAGAGTGTGTGAGTGAGTGAGTGTGAGTGAGTGAGTGAGTGAGTGAGTTGGTGAGAGAGAGAGTGTGAGTGAGTGAGTGAGTATGTGAGTGAGTGAGTGAGTGAGTGAGTGGGTGAGAGAGAGTGTGAGTGAGTGTGTGAGTGAGTATGTGAGTGAGTGAGTATGTGAGTGAGTGAGTGAGTGGGTGAGAGAGAGTGTGTGTGAGTGAGTGTGAGTGAGTATGTGAGTGAGTGAGTGGCTGAGAGAGAGTGTGTGTGAGTGAGTGAGTGTGAGTGAGTGAGTATGTGAGTGAGTGAGTATGTGAGTGAGTGAGTGAGTGAGTGAGTATGTGAGTGAGTGAGTGAGTATGTGAGTATGTGAGTGAGTATGTGAGTGAGTGAGTGAGTGAGTGAGTGAGTGAGTATGTGAGTGAGTATGTGAGTGAGTGAGTGTGAGTGTGTGAGTGAGTGAGTGAGTATGTGAGTGAGTGAGTGAGTGAGTATGTGAGTGAGTGAGTGAGTATGTGAGTGAGTATGTGAGTGAGTGAGTGAGTGAGTGAGTGAGTATGTGAGTGAGTGAGTGAGTATGTGAGTGAGTGAGTGTGAGTGAGAGAGAGAGTGTGTGAGTGAGTGAGTGAATATGTGAGTGAGTGAGTGAGAGTGAGTGAGTGAGTGAGCGAGAGTGTGTGTGAGAGTTAGTGTGTGAGTGAGTGACATGAATGCACAGTGCCGGAAATATTTATTTTATCTGCAGCTGACTATTGTGACAGTAAAAAACCAACATACAACCTAAACCTCAAATTCGATCCTTTTGCTGCCTTGCATACCCTGCTGTTTCCTTCAGAAAATGCAAATCTTGTTTTTGTTTCTTTCGTTCTCTCCTTTCAGTTTTTTCCATGCCCAATATTCAGCCCACATTGCGGACGTCCTCTGCCCTATTCCCGCCTGCACCAGTGTGCTCCTTCTCTTCGTTTGCCATGCTTCCATTCTGTTTTTCGCCTCACTGCACTTCCTCCTCATCTTCATCTTCATCAACCTGCTCGGCTGAGTCAGTTCAATCCCATGATGCCGCAGGGGAGCATGCAACACCTGGCCTCTTAACAGCTTTCTTCAACAGGATTTCCTCTGAGAGAATAGATTGTGAGGACACTGCAGTCATGTTTCAATATGAAGCTGCTTGATTTCAAGATTTCTTGTTGAACAAGTTGCGAATAAATTCTTGTATTGGTCATTCCTGTTCTGCAGTACATTTTGAACTCTCACTCCCCTTTTTGAGCATAGATCTAAACCTAATTGTTTGTAATTCATGAACGCTTTAGAAAACGAAAATACAGAATACAGAAAGCACTTCAAAAAATAAAACTGAAAAAAAAAAAGTTTTAGAAGGTGAAGTTTACTGTAAAGCAAATGTACTAGACATATGTCTACCCAAGCTGTGTTCTATAAAGTTGATATCACAAATTTAACCCACTAAAATGTTTTAAAGTACTATATCCATATTGACACAAGATTTATATTTACAAATATGAATTTCCCAATGCATGTTCACAAAACGTCTACTTTCGTGTCAACACAACACTCATGCGGCATGCCGCTCTCTTGAACGTGCGTTGGAGATTCATATTTTATAAATAAAGTGGTAAATTATGTTTTTATGTTTTCACAAAGCACTCACGTTGCTTCATAAAATTGATGTTCATCCACTGGAGTCACATGGATAACTTTAATTATGTCTCTCACTCACTGACGGACTCACTCACTCACTGACGGACTCACTCACTCACTGACGGACTCACTCACGGACTCACTCACTGACGGACTCACTCACTGACGGCCTCACTGACGGACTCACTGATGGACTCACTCACTCACTGACGGACTCACTCACGGACTCACTCACTGACGGACTCACTGACGGACTCACTGACGGACTCACTGACGGACTCACTGATGGACTCACTCACTGACGGACTCACTCACTCACTGACGGACTCACTCACGGACTCACTCACTGACGGACTCACTCACTGACGGCCTCACTGACGGACTCACTGACGGACTCACTGATGGACTCACTCACTGACGGCCTCACTGACGGACTCACTCACTGACGAACTCACTGACGGACTCACTGACGGACTCACTCACTGACGGACTCACTCACTGACGGACTCATCGACTCACTCACTGACGGACTCACTCACTGACGGACTCACTCACTGACGGACTCACTGACGGACTCACTCACTGACGGACTCACCGACTCACTCACTGACGGACTCACTCACTGACGGACTCACTCACTCACTCACTGACGGACTCACTCACTGACGGACTCACTGACGGACTCACTCACTGACGGACTCACTCACTGACGGACTCACCGACTCACTCACTGACGGACTCACTCACTGACGGACTCACTCACTCACTCACTGACGGACTCACTCACTGACGGACTCACCGACTCACTCACTGACGGACTCACTGACGGACTCACTCACTCACTCACTGACGGACTCACTCACTCACTGATGGACTCACTCACTGACGGACTCACTCACTGACGGACTCACTGACGGACTCACTCACTGACGGACTCACTGACGGACTCACTGACGGACTCACTCACTGACGGACTCACCGACTCACTCACTGACAGACTCACTGACGGACTCACTGACAGACTCACTCACTGACGGACTCACTCACTGACGGACTCACTGACGGACTTACTGACGGACTCACTCACTGACAGACTCACTCACTGAGTCTGACTGACTCACTCACTCACTGACTCACTCACTCACTCACTGACTCACTCACTGAGTCTGACTGACTCACTTACTCACTGACTCACTCACTCACTGGGTTGAATAGAGAAATGTATTTATTAGGATTAACCCCTTGAGATGAACCATCTTGTGTTCGAGGGGGAATAGTTCTTGTATCGTGCATAATTTTACTCATTCCCACAGGTTTTGCGCTCACACCACTGACCTATATAAGTGGCTCTCTCACTACATAAACACACAAATACATTCAAAATATGTCAAAATGCCCGTCTTGCCTAGAATTCATATAAATACAGTCAGTTTTGCAATGTAAATAGTTGTAGTAGTGAAAACATGTGTAACAGTATTGGATCAATACGTTGAGCTCTTAAAGTGACAGCAGCCTAATAAACCTGCTGCCAACTGTCATGTTAAGCAAAGAATAAAAGACAGAGAAAAATCATAATAAGTTTTGTAACTTTAATTGTAAGCAGTGATCTCTATTTAATTTTTAGAATTTTACTTTAAAGGTGCAGTGTGTAGATTTTAGAGGCATCTAGTGGTTCGGTTGCGAGTTGCACTAATGGCTCAGCCCACTGCTCACCCCTGCCAAACTACGGTGGCTAAAACGGGACAAACACGTCGTCGTCTGAGACAGCAGAGAATAGCCAGAGTAAGCCAAGTTTCTGTACCACAGTCCATTATAAACCACATCATGGATAAAGTTTACAAAGCCAGTCAGGTGAGGATCAAGGGTCTTAATATATAATATAATAATAGTAATCAGCTGATTGTCTCACAAACATAACCAGCACATTTCTCCCCACATAACAAACCCATAATACAGCGAGGGAGAAGAACCACATGAAACTATGCAACTATATTTTTTTCTAACAGGGTAGTAAAGCTAATATGAGCTGTTACTGTGGCTGAGCTGGTTAAAGCATAAAGCCTTGTTTACACTCGACGCTTCCGCATGAGCCCAAAAGTCCACGTGGCAAAAATGACGTGATTGTAATAGCGCACGCGGCCCCGCAGTCAGAGTTCAGCAATTGGCAGTAAGCACTTTTATGAGGGGGCCAACATGAAATTAATGATTTTTTTTTAATTTCCATTAACTAATAGTGAGTTTAATGTTTTGTGCAGTGTATTTAGACATGTGATGAGGACAGGAAAATGTACTGCATATTAGGAATGAGTTTGCCTTGTGCATAAACATTTACATGTTCCATGTGACTTCCTGCAGGACTTTCTACTGATGTTCCTGCATCATGTGGCCACCATCTCTCTGATCACCTTCTCATATGTGAATAACATGGCTCGGGTGGGAACGCTTGTCATGTGCCTGCACGACGCTGCCGACGTTCTGCTGGAGGTGATTTCCTATTACATCCATTAAAACCACAGAAAAATAAGTATCTAATAATTGTACAGCAACAGGAATTCAAATGTTATTGTTGGAAAGGTTTTTTGACTGGTCTACATGATAGGGTGAGATCATTTTAGCATAGTCCACTCAAAAAAAAAAAAAATCATCAATAGAATTCACTGTTTACACCCTCGTGTTATTCCAAACTTGCTTGACATTTTTTCTTCTGGGAAAATCACAAATAGTACAAATAAATAACCATAAAGTACTATAAATGTAGTCAGTATGAGTCATGTGCTATTTTCTAAGGGATAGTTAAGCTGAGAATGAAAATTAAGTCATCATTCACTCAGCCTGCTGTTGTTCTAATGGCATATCCTTCTCTCGTTTTTCAGACACAAAATTAGATTTTTTTTCTTTTCTTTTTATTTTTGTCCTGCTCACACTCGTCCATAGATAGATAATTAACGAGTTAATTATCTCAGAATTACGAGATAATTATTTCATGGAAAAAGTTTTTTGCTCTATTTTTCTGAATTAATGAGTTAATTATCCTAGAATTATGATATATATTTTTCTTGAAAAACATTTTTTACTCTGTTTTTTTTATGAACTAATGAGTCGCTTATAATTTTTGAGATAATCAAGTCATTAATTCAGAAAAACAGAGCAAAAACGTTTTTTCCATGAAAAATTATCTCGTAATTCTGAGATAATTAACTCGTCAATTCAGAAAAACAGAGCAAAAATGTTTTTCCATGAAAAATTATCTCGTAATTCTGAGATAATTAACTTGTTAATTCAGAAAAACAGAGCAAAAATGTTTTTTCCATGAAAAATTATCTCGTAATTCTAAGATAATTAACTTGTTAATTCAGAAAAAGTATAGTGTGATCTGCTATTGAAGCCAGCAAATTTATGCACGGGCAATATTAAAAACTAGGACCAGCCAAGACTAGGATGCGAATATATTATTGAAATGAGGCCTCATGTTTTGCTTGACATAAATCATGCAGTAAGTTTGTGTTTGCAGGCTGCCAAAATGGCCAACTACTCCAAGTGCCAGAGACTCTGCAACGTCCTGTTCGTCATGTTTGCCCTGGTGTTCATCAGTTCCAGGCTGGGAGTGTATCCTGTATGGTAAGACACTCCTGTCAGTAACAGATGATGTGCGTTGATGATGTGTCTGAACCTCTTGTTCTCATCTGTATATCTGAAATTCTCTATTTTATCAGCGTTTTTATTTCAGGTTTTGACACCTTCAGTCAGTGTTGTTGCCAAGTAATAGTTACTATGGCTACAGCAGTAGTGTTGAGATGTGGAAGAGTTCAGAATGAAAGAAAACCAATGGGCTCTTAGTTTTGTACACCTATAATTAGCATTTTATCACAAAAGGAAATAGCATTGTGCTTTATTAGACCATTTAGACAACTTTTCAGATTTTAGCTAAAAACGGAGAAAAATGTGTGGCAGTGCTGATTATTATCTGACTATTATCTGGCAATGTTGTTATTGTTATATAAAAATAAAAGTATCCATAACCACTGGTTGCATATCCAATTTTTCTTCCTGAACTTAGCACCTCTGAATGTGGTTTGATCCGATCACAAGATGTTTTGAACCATGTTTGCGCCTGAAATTAGCTGATGTTAAAGGGATGCTTCAGGATTTAGCATTAAGCTTTGTATTAGTAGGAAACCTGTAGTATTTTCAAATTACCATGCCTTGCTTTTAGATTTATGTATTTTTAGATTTTTTGGAAAAAATCGTCATTTTGCATCATCGGAGGATGTTTCGTCCAGAGGATGAAGACTACAGTCAGTAGTCGGGTCTGTCCCGCATGTCCTCAACCCGCCCATAGAGGGTGATCTCACTCACAGAATGAACACATAAGCTGTGTCTGAAATCGCTCCCTATCCACTATATAGTGCACTATATCGGGTGTCGGCCATTTTGTAGTGGTGTCCGAATTCTGAGTGAACAACATCATTCCCTACATTCATTCACTACTTTTACCCACAATCCTCTCTGAATTCGAGTGTACATTCGATGTACACTTGCTGAAGCCCTATTTCCCACAATCCAATGCGGAGAGAACTGAGATTACATTACAGTGGAGGATTTGAAAAATATCCGTTAATCGTCGTTTTGAATATAATAACGGTCGCCGGAGGGCGCTCGACGACACGTCATCTGTGAACGTGAGAGTTAACAGACAATTTCAGTCGATGAAACAAGCTGGCACGGAGGTATAATTACAAAATAAAGTCATTATGATTGTTATTGTTGTTAATATTATTTTATAAAGTAGGTAATGTAAGATAAAAGGAGTTTTATCAGTACGCGTGACGAAGCCTTTTCTGCGACAGCTCCAACTCTCCGACGCACAGTGTAAACGTCAGCGTCCGAATTCACTCACTTTATCTCGTTCACTCCTTGCAGATATAGTGCACTCAAATGCCATACACTATATATGGATTAGTGAATGAGTGAACGAGTGAGCGGTTCAAGACACAGCTATAGTGTCGGCCATCTTTTTTTGGAAGCTAAGCTAGCAGGCTCTTGTTCTGTGGAGAAAGCTGAGTAGTAGGGGTTACCATCCTCTTTTTCCCGGACCTGTCCGGCCGCCGCTGTCCGGGATTCAGCTTTTGCTTTCTGCAGTCGCCATTCATTGTTTACATGCACAGCGTTTGTTTCAATCTAACTGAATTCATTCCGATTGGTAAATCTGAATGTAGTGTTTACATGAACGCTAAACAAGTGATCGGTTGATGTGCGTTTTAACATTGCTAAGAAAATTCCCGCTCCTCCGTGAGAGATACGAGACCGGTGCGTCTCACAGGTGTCGCTCATCGGTAATCACGCGCCGTTCTCCCGCGACCCTCACTCGTCCCGCTCGCCACAGTAAACATGACGAATGGCGACTGTAGAACGCAAAAGCCGAATCCCGGACATTTTGGGCGATCTCGAAACACATTTTCATCACGGAGACTCACTAGTAGCCTAGACTTGTTGTTTAACTACTGCGCTCTGTTACCGGTAGGCGTGGCCTCCTAGGGCAGCGAAGCAAGTGCATTCTGGGAGTTGTTGTCTTTCGTCCACATAAGCCAAAAATACATTTTCTGGCTTTTCTGAGTCTAGAAAGCTCCAAATTCAAAAATAATTTCACATTTCTTCTGCATAAATGACCCATTTTAAATACACATTCATCTTTCCAGAGGTGAAGTATCCCTTTAGTACCAGGTGTATTTGCTTCTCACAAATTTCACTACTGTGACTTTTTCAGATCCATTATTCTTTTGACATGATTCTTTTCTTCAGAATGAGTCATTGTGCTTTTTCTTCTAGCTTTCCTCATCAATAATTTAGTGCTGGAAAGACGTTTTATTCACTCACCTCATCTAAGTGTCTACTGTGGCTTTTGAGTACTTTATTGTGAGACTCTAATGGAATTAGGGACACGGTCTAATCACAGTGTGCGATTAGATTCGGCTCCACGTGAGGAACCGTGGAGTTGATGATGATGATGTGAAGTCTCCGGTCCTCAGAGTCCTCACTGTCACTGTTTAGTAGTGATTATGAAATGGCCTTCACAGAGCTGTTGTCATAGTCCCTGTATTCACTGATATGCTGCAGTGAGTTCATGTCAGTTTTGATTCAGTCTTATTTCAGAGGTTAGGAGTCGTGCATCTTGTGCTACAATGCAGCAGAGAAGGCTGACCTTCATGATCAGCATCACTCATTTGATTTACAACTGATCTAGTGACCTGCAGAATCTGAAATATTGCTTTGTTGTTTTTACATTAATCGTTTAAATTCGTTAAAACATCCTAAAACAGTTTATTTCCAGATCTACATTATATTTTGAATGCCAGAAGGTTCAGAAATGCTAGTGTAGTATTTATTACTATTTTGTATTTATTAATATTAATAGTCATTTATTAATATTTTTAATTAACATTTATTTTAAGTTTTCATTTGAATTTTTTTTGTGATTTTGTAATGTTCTTTTGTCATTTTTATTAATCGTAATTTATCAACATTATATTTTCTGTTTCTATTAGTTTGTTATTTAAATTTCTATAGATTTTAGTTTTAGAAATTTGTTTTTCAGCTTAAACTTATTTAATTTCAGTTTGTTGCCAAAGCAACATTTCTAATTTATGTTCAAGTTTAAGTTTACCATCTAATATTTACATTTTATTTCAGCTTTATTTCAATTAACAAAAACATTTGGTTTCAATTTTATTCAGCTATAACAACACTATAACACACAAGGATTTTAGGCTGAAAATTTTAGGCACAAAACGGCTGAAAATCATAAATACATTCACAAGGGATATGATTTAATTGCTTTTTACTTACTAAGAGGTGGCGCTGTTACCAAGTCGATTTGGTGTGGTCACAAAGTTTGGTTCAATATGCCAAAAAGCATTGCAGTTACAGCCTCAGAATCAGCTTGCCATCATGCCATTCATTTCGTTAATGTTTTATTTTAAAACGGTTTTGTCTATCAGAAAATCTTTGCCGGCATATTCTTAAAATGATCAACTCTAGATTAATTAAAATAGACAGAATTAATTAAAAGCTTTTAGGATTTTTGGAAAATTCATTGTAATTATGTTGACTGCAAAATGGTGTGGTCTCGAAACTTTGAGTACCTTCAAGGTATGGTGTCAAGTTTCTTAAAAATAAGCGTATGTGTTTGTAAAATACAGAATTTTACGACAACTCAAAATGGCCGACATCCAAAATGGTTGACATTGGAAAATTGGGAATCATTTGACTCGGTATGCTGCACTTAATCAAAAGAGATCTGTTTTATGATTTTTGGGCAAACTGTTCAGAAGTTATTTGAATTTTTTATTATTTTTTTTTTTTTCATATTTCTTGACCAGTAGGTGGCACTGTGCCGAAACGCTGCAAGTAGCCTCAGGTCATGCTTGTGATGACATGTACCAAGTTTGGCCTTATTACGCCAAGTATTCGCAGAGATACAGCGTCATCGTCTCATCTTCAAAATAGTTTGCGCGTTACTCGAGAATGGTTTGGTTTTTCGAAAATCTTTTTGCCTGCATGGTCTTAAAGGGATAGTTCACTTTGAAATAAATTTTTGGTATGTTTTATCTTACCTCAAGGGCATCCAAGATGTAGGTGTCTTTGTTTCCACAGTATTTTCAATTTTGATATTTTTAGGTCAAACCGTTCTTGTCTGTCAGTCATATAATGGAGGTCTATGGTCACCACCTCAAAGAGCATGCACAGAGAAGTCCAAATTAAACATGATTTAATGACTCGTAAATGTGAAACAAACAGTATTATAAATACTGTTCGTTTTCTCACACAAACCGCTCGTTTCGTGTCTTAGGCCATCAATGTGTACTTACATTTACGAGTCATTAAATCATGTTTAATTTGGACTTCTTTGTGCATGCTCTTTGAGGTGGTGACCATAGACCTCCATTACATGACTGACAGACAAGAACGGTTTGACCTAAAAATATCAAAATTGAATCTACTGTGGAAACAAAGACACCTACATCTTGGATGCCCTTGAAGTAAGCTAAAACATACCAAAAATTAATTTCAAAGTGAACTATCCCTTTAAGATGATCTGTGCCAATTTTAGTGTAAATTGGACAAACTATCTAGGATGAGTTTAAACAAGTATGTTTGTCAGAAAATTCTAAATGGTGGAAAAATTCTCATGGTGGAATGTGGAATAGTCTTTAAGGAATCAGAGGAATTCTAGCTGTTATGGTTCAAAAGCGATTAGCATAAACATGAGTGCAACTTTGGACATTTGGTGGCTCTAGTCTAGAGGGATTGAGGTTGAAAATGAAAATTGCCGTGGTTAATATTAAGACTGTCCTCCATCTGTGTGCCAATTATTTTGCCACTGATCTCACATAAGGGTTTTGAAGCCACGGTTGTTGAATATACTTGAAGCAATGGAATGTTGTAATAAAATGTGTTTGTTTTGCAGGATTTTAAACACTACTGTGTTTGAGAGCTGGGAGATCGTTGGGCCGTATCCATCGTGGTGGGTGTTTAACACACTGCTAGTCCTGCTGCAGGCCCTGCACACCTTCTGGTCATATCTCATAGTGCGCACCGCCTACAGGGCCATTTCCAGAGGAAAGGTGAGACTTCAGAAAACCACACCATCACCTCCATCACCCTTATTGCAAGGGCTTCAATATATTTAGCTATTAAATTAGCACACAGTTCAATTCAAGTTTATTTTTATTTGGGGTGTCGTGATATACCGATATTTTTCAAATGTATAGTACGCGTATGATAATTGGCACGTAAATTATCCAGCACCAGTGTTGCACCTTAACACTGGTTGCCATCTGTCACAATCACAAGCAGACAATGCACATTTGAATAAAAAAACTTAGGGATTTATCATGTTTACTTAAAATATCTTTAGAGAGCACAGTATTTTTTCTATTTTTACCCACAACAACAGGACATTATGGAGCGTTAAACTCCCATGTATTTAGTTTAATTCATACTTGACACTGGAGGGCACTCTCGTACAGGAAGTCCACAAGTGAGACTCGTATATTAATATAATTTATGACATTCCTGGAAATCTCTAATATTGACAAAGATATCCAGCAATCGCTGTAGCTGAATAAAATGCAGATGGACAGTTTTACGGATTAAACATGAAGGGAATTAACACACCATTGTGACAGTATTTGTGTTTTTCAAGCTTGGGTATTTTCTAAAGGATAATGTACATTTATAATGCCAATCATCTTAGCACACACAAGTACACCTATCTACAGACTGCCAAATCATGGCCAAAATCGTAGAGTGAACCGGGCTTTTATTCAGCGTGAAATCAAACCCTATTTACTTCAGTAAACGCCAGGGTTATTATCGTTAACTAAAACCATTTTAAAAAAAAACTTACTTCAAATTACTTGAAACAAACATTAATGGAATTTTACTTTAAATAACTTAAACTTCCATTTCATCTATTTGCTATGGCAGCATTTCTTATTTTTATTTAGCTTAACTTGAAATATTAAAATGACTAAAACTAAAAGCAATAAATAAAAATTAGATTATAAAAATTACAAAAACAGCAAAATTACTAAAACTTATGGTGAAAACAGAACATAGTAAAATCAAATTAATTCAAAATATTAACAAAAATGATATTGGCAAATCAATGGTACTAAAATAACACTGGTACACGCTCCTGGTCTTATTGTGAATTATTCATTTACTGCATGTTGTTGCAAAGAAAATTCTTTAAAATGCAATAAATTACTTTATAATAAATTGACATCAAGCTGAAGCAGCAAAATGTATATTAATGGGTGTTAAAAGATTGTTGTGGCAAATAGAAACGCCCGTTATTGCTAAAGTCTTTAATTCAGATGTACTTCAAATGTGTAATGTCTCTTCGTTAGGTGTTTCATAAAAACAAACAAATATGAAAGTATGTAAATGTGTACAGTTACGTATTTTAAAATAAGATGAATATGATGTTACATAAATGTCCTCAGCTTTTAAATAAGGCACCCATGATCCTGTGATCAGAAACAGGAAAATTATTTCCAAGTGACGAATCAACTGAGAATTGGCGGTTGATAAAATGAAGTCTCTCCCTACTTTTTTGTCTAATTGAAGATTACCTTGTGAGCTGCATTTCATGTTGACTCAAAGATCAGTTACTATTAATCTTGGTTTGGTTAACTGTAACCTTGTGCCTGTGCTGTTTTCCACCTTTTATATATAAATATGCTTTTTCTTTCTTCTCTACTTCACACGCTGCCATCAAAGGCGGGAAAATGGAATCCTTTACATGTAAGTAGTTCATTATAAAAGTGTTCTGTTCTCTGCATGGATGCATTAAGCTTCTTAGAGTCTGATTTTACAGATACACTGCCATTCAAAAGTTTGCTGTCAGTAAGGTTGTTTAATGCCTGGCTCAGATTACACGATTGTAGCCCGATTTTGGCACGATCCGTTTGACGTAGGGTGTCGTGGGGATTCGTAAACGACAACGGAACGCAAGATTCGATCGTATCATCTCGTATACTATGTCATTGTGGGCGACAACCTACGTCGCGTCTGCGATGCTTCACGACATCACGATAAAAAGACTAGCATGTTTAATTTTTTTAACGGTCGTCCACGACGGTTCCGTCACATGTATGAGGTTGACCAATAGGAGCACAGAAGCTTTTCCGTACACAACTTTCAAAAATGAAACGAAAACGAAAAACGGCGAAACGAAAGAGAGACGATGGTGCTAACGTTAAAACTAAAAGTTAAAATATGTAAGAAAACAATATTTTACTTCAAGTTCTCTTTGGAGGATTAACAGCCCATACTGTCCTCTTCGAGCAATCCAGGAACGTGTCCATATTCAGGTTTTTTCTGAACACAGGACAGCCAATACAACAGTCACGCCGCCTTCACACTGGCAGTTGAAATCAGCTTATGCGGCTGCGAAAGGACCGGAAGTCATTCATTTCCTATGGAGATTCGCAAACCGCATGCGAATGGGTCCGAAACGGGTCCGACCGAGTGCTTTGCGAAGAAAATCGTGTCCGTTGGTCATCCAGATGCGTTCAAAAAAATTTAACTCTTGCGAAAATCTACGCACGGTTACTATCCGACAATTCCAACGGAAGTTGAGCGTTGCTATGGTACTGATAAACAAACCTGAATTCTTAACGTTTAATAAAATAAATAGTGATTTTATAACGGTAAGTTGTCATGTCATTTTTTATTTTCATGACTTTCTAACGTTATTAGGGCAGTTAATACAATTAAATTGTAGGCAGACATTGAACTATTGACCACTATATCACATTTTTATTCGACCTGAAAAGTCAACGTCCTGAGCAACTTTCCTCGCGCAGCAGCCTTCCTATTAATATATCTGTAACCCTCATCAGAGAGATCATACAGAACTGACAGTCAACCTTTCTAATCTCTCCGCCATTTTTGTTCTACCCGCGTCCGAGTCTTTTCACTGTGTAGTACGACATCCCTTGGGAATGTATTGCGTATTACGGAGCTGATATCAACTGCAAGTGTGAAGGCGGCGTCACGCTTCATCCATTGTTTGTTTACGTTCGTATCCGGAAGTCACTCGCTACTAGTTTTGCCTTTTCGATGACATCACGCGCGCCGTTAAAGACAGCATGCAATGACTGGTCAGGAAGCAACGTGTAGTCTGACGTGTCTTGTCCACGACACGACAGGATTTTAGGAGTCAAAAATCGCATAATCTGACACAGTGACTGTCGTAACAGACAAAAAAAATCGTGTAGAAAAAGAATGTCTCATTGCAATTAGTTTCATTTTTTGTATATTATCTCAAGTCATAAGAATAGTTTGTACTGTAATCTTAAGCATCTCTATAACCTTCCCAGGTGTCAAAGGATGACCGCAGTGACATTGAATCCAGCTCTGATGAAGACGAGGTTCTTCCTCCCTCTCAGAAACACCACACTAACGGTACCAACGGGGCTCACGGCACCAACGGCTACCTGTCCCCGTCCCCGTGTCCAGACGAACACTAACCACCCGTTTCCCTGGGTCCCAGCTGCAGATGGTACCCGCATCACCCTCCGTTGTGTCAAACCATGTATGAACATTACCGGTCCGGTCCCGTACTGGAACTACTCAATGTGAATGCAGTTCTGTTTCGGTTGGTCGCGTTTCACAATTTCCCTCAGATGTTTTGTGTTCCGTTCGTTTGCTTTTGTTTTTGTGGTCGTTGATCCTGCGGCATTGGTTATCGAAGCATCTTTTAGATTCAGTGCAGCTAACTCTTTCGTTTCAAGCAGGCGAACGAAAGCGCCGTTCATTCTTTCTTTCATAATCGCGTGAGCATGCTGCTGCGGTCATGTATTCTGGCATCTTGGGAAAAGAAATTAGTGTCTTTTTGTATTTATTTATTTTTTGTATCTTTAATAAATTTGCATTTTCCGTGCTGCTGGTTTTTTTTTTCTCTTCTTTCTCAACATACATTCCCCCTTTCCACGACAAGATGGCGGTGCTGGAGCCGGTGCCCAGTCTGGAACCATTCAGCACATTTCCACCGAAACATGCTCTATGCAAGTACAGTAAATGAATTCAAAACGCAACATTTTGAAAATGTTTTGCTGTGACTGAAAAACAATACTTCAACACATTAATATGTCAAAATACATAGTTTTCGAAATTCCCCGGATAACCTTACTACTTTCGGCAAGTGTGCATTAATGGATTCTTTACTATCCCATGAGGATTTGCCAATGGTAGTGAAGCGACACAACGCTGTTGGTCACATGACAATAACATGGCAGCTGTAGTAAGTCTGAATTGACCTATGACTAAGCCACGCCCCCTCCACTCACTCGGACACGCAGTTAACATTCGGGGACAGGCGCTATGGCAGCTGTCACATTTCACAGGAGGTAATTGGTGATTTTTGGAAACAGAAAGATTATATATCATCTAGAAGTCACCTAAAGGGCCTTAACTATGCATTGGAGGGTTATATTAATAATTTTATTGTTGAGAAGGTCGATGAAAAGCTTCAGCTCCAGGCAAAAATGTACAGGTCACAGTGTAAACGTGATAAACATTGCCATCACCGTTTGGTACTACAGTATTTACATGAATCATTCAGCACAACATTGTTAACATTTGTAATCTCGGTTATTTACAGATACGTTAATAAAGCTAAGTGTATGCTTCATTCCAAGTGTAGTAGGATTAGGGGTGGGGTTAGGGATCAGGGGGTGGAGATGGGTTGGATTAGAGGTGTGGTCATGGATCGGGGGTGGAGATGGGTAGGATTAGGGATCAGGGGTGGAGATAGGTAGGATTAGGGGTGGGGTCAGGGATCAGGGGGTGGAGATGGGTAGGATTAGGGGTGGGGTCAGGGATCAGGGGGTGGAGATGGGTAGGATTAGGGGTGGGGTTAGGGATCAGGGGTGGAGATAGGTAGGATTAGGGGTGGAGTCAGGGATCAGGGGGTGGAGATGGGTAGGATTAGGGGTGGGGTTAGGGATCAGGGGTGGAGATGGGTAGGATTAGGGGTGGGGCTCATTATCAGGGGGTGGAGATGGGTAGGATTAGGGGTGGGGTCAGGGATCAGGGGGTGGAGATGGGTAGGATTAGGGGTGGGGTCAGGGATCAGGGGGTGGAGATAGGTAGGATTAGGGTGGGGTTAGTGATTGGGGGTGGAGATGGGTAGGATTAGGGGTGGGGTTAGTGATTGGGGGTGGAGATGGGTAGGATTAGGGGTGGGGTCAGGGATCAGGGGGTGGAGATAGGTAGGATTAGGGGTGGGGTAGTGATTGGGGTGGAGATGGGTAGGATTAGGGTGGGGTTAGTGATTGGGGGTGGAGATGGGTAGGATTAGGGGTGGGGTCAGGGATCAGGGGGTGGAGATGGGTAGGATTAGGGGTGGGGTCAGGGATCAGGGGGTGGAGATAGGTAGGATTAGGGGTGGGGTTAGTGATTGGGGGTGGAGATGGGTAGGATTAGGGGTGGGGTTAGTGATTGGGGGTGGAGATGGGTAGGATTAGGGGTGGGGTTAGTGATTGGGGGTGGAGATGGGTAGGATTAGGGGTGGGGTTAGTGATTGGGGGTGGAGATGGGTAGGATTAGGGGTGGGGTTAGTGATCGGGGGTGGAGATGGGTAGGTTCCTCTCTCTGGATTTCGTGTTCTGTAATGAGGACCATCTCCTCAGTCTGGCAACCTGTGTGAGTGTGGAGTCTGAGGAGGCGGGGGCGGGGCAAACACTTCTCTCCAGTATTTTGAATTTGGACTGCAGTACCCATTTTAACCACTAGCTGTCAATATTCCGTACTGCACCTTTAAGCACAGCGATGTACTTTTGGAAAGGTTATGTTGTAAGAATCATTTACGGCATTATTCGGGTCTCAAGATTCACAGATCCCCAGCTGAGCACCGGCCTTGACACGAGTACCAGCATCATTTTCGTAGAAAAGGGGTAACCGTTTTAAATGGGCAGAATTACCAAAGTCAGTCAATTTGCTCAAATTTATAATTTGTTCGAATTAATCACTATCAATTAGTGGGGTAGTTCAAAAATACAGGAAAAACTGTAATAATGTCAATTTATGTTTTTTATTTTAATATATTTAAAATTTTTATTTATTCCTGTAATGCAAAGCTGAATTTTCAGCACAGTCTTCAGTGTCACATGATCCTTCAGAAATCGTTCTAATATGCTGATTTGATGCTCAACAAACATTTCTTATTAGCAATGTTGGAAACAGTTGCTTCATATTGTTATTGAAACCGTGATACATTTATTTCAGGATTGACAGCATTTATTTGAAAGAGAAAGTCAATTTTCACTTTTGATAAATTGAATGCATCCTCAGTAAATTAAAGTATTAATTTCTTTAAAAAAAAAATTAATAAATCTTACTGACCCCAAACTTTTGATGCATTGATGGAAACCCTTTATCAGTGTTTCATGTGCTAAAAGAAAAATGCACACTTATTGGAAGTATTTTATCGAAGAATCTTTCCTGTCTTTCTAAAACCATATTGGATTCGGCCTCATTTAAGAAAAGTTTTAGGAGGAAATATTTGATATTATTTTCTCATTAAATCCCAGTCATATTTCCAAATACATAGTGCATCATGAGGCCCAAATAAGGTTTGGTTTTATTACTGTGCACAGTAATACACTGTTTTTTATGTCATCTTTTTTTTTAAGTTTAAAAAAATATTCACCCCGTTTTCCACATGCATTTGTTCATCATTCAGCCGAGCTTTATTAAAGCCTTTGATTTGAGTGTTTTAATGCCGTTTCTTTCAGTGTTGGGAAGGTCGCTGCTGCTGTCTGTTTAAAGCTGGAGAAGTGCTACAGCTAATTAGCCGTCATCTTATTTGCACTGCAGACAGGTTGCTGTGTTATGTGGTTTACATTTGATGTCAAAAAGGCGAAGAATTAAGAAAAGACAACTGTATTCTCTGCCTTCGCTGGAAAACTCAGCGGTATTATCAGCGGTACTAATGAATTATGTTGCCATGTATTTTAAATAAACACAACAGACCAAAACCCTTCATGCTGCTTTTATGTGTCTGTATCTCTAATATTACACCTAATAATTCATGATTAGTTGCAAGGGATAATTTGTCATTTTATTTCGAAGCATTTTTGGATTGAGTTATCCTTTTGCAGGAGAAAATGAAACAAGTAGAAAACGAAGTGAGAAGAGGAAAACTCATAAAAATAGTTCTGGGATAGGCTACAACACCCTCTAAAGAGCTCCAAACACCCAAACTAATAAATACAACTTAATATAACTAAAAACAACAGACACAGAAGAGATCATCTGTAGGAAAAAATATATTACCATAACCACATAGAGGAAAAATATACAGAGACGGGATTTTTGAGAGAGATTTGATACCTTTGCACGACAATGACGTACTATATACGCAAAGTAAAGACTGTTGTGTTTCTCGCATACAGACGATAACATTGTCAAAATTATCCTTGTTCACACCAACCCTACTTTGTAAAGAAATACTATGTGACAATAGCCTGGTCTCACCAGATTTTAGTAAATTTCTTTTGTTTAGAGTCTGGCATCGTTCCATTGACAAGCGTTAAACTAGCGCACGACATCAACGTCATCGTTCTCAGCCACTCCCTCTGTTTGCTGATTGGTCGGTAAAAAATTGACGGAGGCTGTGTCCGAAATCTCCCACTACTCCCACTAGTGGACTATATAGTGAGCTCGCCATTTTGTAGTGCTGTACGAATGTATAGTGATGATTATTATACCCTATATAGTCCACTCAATGTATCCCAGAATGCATTTTTAAAAGTAGTCTACAAACGATGGTCTCTCACCTAAGCCCTACATACCATCATGCATTGCGCTGATCGTAAAAAAAGATGGATGGGCGACAGCAATGACGTAATCAACGGTGCCGAGAGACAATCGAGTAGTGTCCGAAAGTGTTGTTTCTATTATGCTGGTGAGCTCACTAAATAGTGCTCTACTCCCTACCCCCTACATAGGGGTTAGGGAGTAGTGGTTTGAGTGGAGATTTCAGACACACCTGTAGAAAACCAAAGAATACACCACCAGACGTAGTAATGAAGGAAAATGAAAATTGAGCGGAAGTACGAAGGAGGGCGGAGCCAGCCTAACGTGACTATAGACTGAACACGTAATATCCATGCGCGTGACATCAGCGTTTTCACAAATTCACGTTTTTGTGGTTTACACGTAGACAATAACGCTATCGGTTTCAAAAACTGGCACTTTGAATACCGTTTTCAAATTTTTTTAAGCGTTTTTAAGCCCCCATAACGCCGTTATAGTGTAAAAAAAAAGCTAAAACGCATAAACAGTTTCCGTTTTTAGTTGAAAACGGTGTGTTTTAAATACCCTCTTAGAGTTAATCCTACAAATGATGCAGCACAGCAGCTTTAAACCTCTTATACCACAGCAGCTGTGATCAATGAGGGCTCGACCATTCTGATTGGTGGATGAGGAGTGGGTGGAGACTAGAACAATCAGACATTCAGAGTGATGACCTGCCACAACTAGCCTGAGTTTCCCCATACTGCCTTTGCACATGGTGATTTTACTAGGCAGTCTGGATACCATGGACCAAATTTTCAAGTCACACGATGAGAGGAAAGACCAAATCATGATCTCTGATCATGAATGCTCTTAAAGGACAGGCTTGGCCATGCACTACACACTGCAGAGAAACTTTACCAAGTGCATTTTGAATATGGCCGTTTGCCAGAGAAAACGTTTGACCCTTACTAGACTGTAAAATCTCCCCTTTATGCTTTGTCTGGTTTCACAGAGACTCCTGGATCAAAGAATAAGTGCTACCTGTGTCAATAATTGCCTCCAAATGTTGGTTATGAATATCTGAATATCAGCATCAGAGTAGACATGGAAGACTGAGCATACACAGCTATGTTATGGCTGTTCGACCTCCCTCGACTTGATCTTCCTCCTCCACGCAAAGTTGCTTGTTCAGCTTGCCTCTACCTCCAGAAAAGTCTCTCCTCATTCAGGTCCCATTCCACCAGTGTGCCCACACAAACTAGCTCTTTTATTGTGGATACAGTCCCTCTCAAGATACTAGCAATGCATGGATGGCAGTTCCTCAATTACCCCTTTTCCACCAAAAAAAGAACTGGTGCTGGTTCAAAGTTGGTTCGGAAATGGTTCAACTTGAGAACCGCTTCAGAACCTGTTTGTTTTTCCAGTGACTGGAGCGCCCAGGGAACGACGTCGTTAAGCCATACGTCTTAGCTAGAAACGCTTGCAAATACAACATTACTTTCGAATTATCTCTAACTCCAAGAAAGCTTTAAAACAATTGAAATATGTAAGTCTTTTAATCTTTTCGTTTGATATGTAATTTTTTCTGATAAGTTATGTACCCCTGTAATTGTGTCTTTTTTTCTTTCCATTTATTTGTTCCATATTGTGACTTTTCTTCTTTGCTAATGTCTTCAATAAAAAAAATTACAAAAATAGAAACGCTTGCGTTAACTTCAAGCATAACATTTACAAAGGCGGACTCCATCGTGTTTCTGCAAATGTTTCTCTTGGCTTTGCAATCCTTTATTATGGTCAGAAAAGATGTTTAGAACACATCTAAACCCGCCCCAGCCCCCGATGTAAGCATGACGTGGTAAAAGAACGGTTCTAGTCCAGCAAAGAGTTGGTGCCGCTTTGGAACCAGTTCTCCTGGCCGAGAACCGGTTCTTTGGCTGTCGAAACACAAAGAACGGGTTCGCGCTCAGGCACCGGCTCCGAACCGGCTCTTAAAATGTTTTGGTGGAAAAGGGGCTATAATAGCTTGAAGAAACTCACGTTCTGTCATGGTTGGCATTAAGCTCAAGCACAAAGCTCTATTCACTCTAAAAAATGCTGGGTTGTTTTAACCCAATCTTGGGTCAAATATGGACAAACCCATTGGGTTACATTTTTAAATTACATATTTAACCCAATGTTTGAGTTTGTCCATATTTGACCCAAAATTGGGTTAGAGTGTATTGATAATATAAAGAATGAATGTTCTCATCCACTCCCTGTTTTCTTTCTCTGATCCTTCTATCCGCCCCCACCTCATGATCTTCAGGTAGAAATGACTTAAACAGGCTTAAACTGTGTCCAGGTCTTAACACATGCTTTCTCGGCTGTCCTCGGCCGTATATACGCCTTATTCACGGCAGCGCCATCTTTGATTTTTAATGAGAAGGAAAGTGAGGCTTCGAGGGATAGACATGCATCTCTTCAATGGGCTGTACTGTTATTTAATGTGTTTTTCGGACTGTTCTACTCATGAAAGAAATTTCAGTTGACAAAAAACTCCAGTTGTGGAAAATTGTAAATAATCTAGGAGCTTTATTCAGCTTTTTACAGCGGATGCCATTGGAAACACGGTAAGTCTATCCCTCACAGCCTCACTTTCATACCTGTCATGGCGCTGCTCTGAATAAGGTCTATAGGCACCGATGACAACACAGACAATATCTCGGCTTACTCAAAGGTTGGACAGTGAGATACTCTTCAATGCAATAGGATCTTCTCCATCCAGACAACTGAATTTATGACACTCAAGATTTATGGGAGTTTTAAACTGAATTGATTGAGAATAAGTATCTGGCGAGTTAAATGCCTTGCATGTGTGAAGGTATCATCTCTCCGCTTGAGACAGTCCATAACTGCACGTCCCAGATCCCAAATGCTCTTCTCTTAGACCTATTTCACTCTTGGCACTCTTTCTTTGATTCTAAAATGATCGCTTCCTCTCTTTGTCTCAAGAAACTTTCACAGTCTTTGACTTGGACTTCTAACGAACTGATTTTGTTCTCATAGGTATCCAATTTAGGTATCCAGTTACTGGGTTTCAAACTTATCAAAATGGATGTTGTTTTTCCTTTACCTCACTCATTGTATTTTCCAATTTTTTAACTCTATTGGCCAAAACCATAGAGATAAGACTTTCATCCTCCTCTTCAGGAGGCGTTGGAGGTGGTAATTCAGTACTATCTTCAACCTCATCATCCTGCTCAGGTTCTAAATAAAGACTACCAAATGATTGAATCAGATCTTGTATGGGCTCTCACACACCGTTAATTCTTCTGCACTATAATTAGGTTCTCTTTGATACACACTCCCATCCTTGGCAGGATCATCCATTTGGAAATATTATGAGGAAGCCTACTTTTCAGGAGAGTAAACACCAAATAACGTATACCACTTGGTGATACATAAATAAAACACATATACACACTACTTTCACTCAACATTATCCAGAATGTCCCTGTTTGGGCGCCTGTTTTGTAAAAAGATAGAACAAAACCACGTAAAGAGGAGGTAGGATACCATCCATTGAGCTTTTGCAGTGATTATATTTAAGTGCCAAACAAGTAACAACAAATGTATTCAGTATTCACCCTCCACAAATCAGTTCATTCAAATCAGTCAATGGTTTGCGTGATAGACATACCTGAGTTTCCAACGCTGTTTGTCATAAACCTCCATTGTTGTAATGTTCCAAAGGTTTGAACCGTTCCAAAGATGGCAAATTCAGCTGGTATAATCCATTGGTAGTTCCCACAAGCATTACGCAGTCAAACTTAGCACAAAACAGTCCAGAAGAGAAGATCAATTAGAACATAAGGCTTAAATGAATGGCAAAGAAAATCTATTTCCCATCAAAAAGCCAAACCAAGGACAATGAGCTAGTACTCACATACTTACCTCTGCCTTAACTTCACTTCTTCTCTGCTATTGGCATCCTCACAACTGAGGACGGCGCCCCCTAGTGTAGCGGAAAAGCACTAGAAAGAGTGAATTTTACCTAGAACAGTTACACACAAACACCTTAAAGGTGCATTGCACAAGTCTCTGAGTTTTTGCAGAACTACGCCCCCTCTGGCGACAAGCGAAACTGCAACCAGAGGTGTGCACGCTCACGGACCGCACGCACATGCACGCACGCTAGCACAAGCTGTTCATAACCAAAGGAGCATCAGCCGCACACATCTTTTGTTACAGTCATAATGTCTTCAGAGGTAATAAAGTTATAAATCTGCAAGTCATTCTAAATATATAAAAGGAAAGACATTTGAGTAAATTACACACTTACGTGTGTGTGAGGGGAAAACGGGGATAGTAGAAAACTTTGGTTTTTGTTTCCATCTATCTGCATGTTGAACTGTGTTATGTGTTTACTGTATCCACTTATGATTGTATTATTATGGAAACACGTTCATGAACAATATACACTGGGTTGTTTTAATCCAATATTGGGTCAAATATGGACAAACCCAGCCATTGGGTTACATTTTTAAATTAAAATTTTTAACCCAAGGTTTGAGTTTTTTCCATATTTGACCCAAAATTGGGTTAAAACAACCCAGGATTTTTTAGAGTGTAAGTTTACTTTGTATAGGACCCGTTTGAGCCCTAGAGTCGACCGGAGATCTCTCCATTTATTGAAAGCCTTCCCGATGTTGACTCTCGTCTTATTCTGACGCCTGGCACTAGACAGAAGTTTTATTTTCTTTGTCTTACGTGAAGTTTGCATTGGGGTTTGTGAATGAACTACAAGCCGGTCTCTTTGAATCCATATTCTACTTCTGTCGAAAGTTGACTAAAGTTGTGTCGCTCGAGTTGTCTTCGCTGATACGGAGAATGGCGGCGAATACACAAACCTGCCAGACATAGCCAGGCAAGCGTGAACGCACATGACGTCACGGTCACGCCCAGTCTCAAACTCCGTCCCGAATCCCTTTTATTTATTTCACTGTACAGGATTATAGAGGCGATCGCAGTGATCAGAAAAGGGCTCATTCAGCCCATCAGGCAATCGTTTAAGCATTATGGGTTAGAAAAACGGGTACTTTTAACGTGAAATGCTGTGCAATGCACCTTTAAAATAAAGTGTAACCCAATTTTGCCAAAGGATTATTACACAAAACAAATAACAACAAGAAAAATAAATATACAATATAACACAAATAACAATATGGTCTGTCTCTATCATTCTGTCTCGCTAACGTCAGAACAGCAAAATTTACATTTACACAAACAAATAAAAATAAATACACAATATAACAATCAATAATTTGTTAGGTAAATGTTTAGATTAGAATAGTGAAGTATATATATATATATATACTGTATATTGATTCCTGTGAATTCATTGCAATTTAACTGTTTGCAGTTCAGTATAATTACACGCACACAAAAAATCGCCACAGAATTATGTGACTAGAATCCAGTGTTGTTATTATTTTTTTAAACATAGAAATGTATGTTATATGTATAAATGTAAACTGTGGCATAAATTATTTTCTGTACAAAAATGTTGAGCATAACAATAAACTAAACTAATTTTCTGAATGTCCAGAGCTAGAATTTAGACAAAGTTGAAGTTCAAAATATATATATATATAGATGGATATATATAGATGGATATATATATATATATATATATCATTTGATGGACTTTTTTATATCATTCATGGACTTAATAATCAGGTTATTTACAATGGTAAAAAATATTTAAATGTTCTTTACACTATAAAACAAAATGGTTCTTTTAATATTGTTCACTGACAGGTTATAGGGAACCTGAAATTTTTCTACAGCATCAGCATGGCTGGGAAAATCCCCTTTTGAAACAGTTATTGTAAACCATATAGTTTATAATTTCATTTGTGTTATTTCATAGTTTTAAACTATAAAATGTTTCCAGACTTTTGACTGGTCATATATCCATCGTATACATAATGCTTCCCGTTGGCAACAAGACGAATGTCAAGCCAAAACTTCATGCAAAATGATTTCTATAGGAATAGGACTGATCCTGCATTACGCCACTCCTTTGGTTTTATGGTGGGTTAATGATGCAGTAATCCTGTGCACAGACACACAGGTGATTTCCGCATGCATTCTTCAGGAGTGGAGAGAGGTCAAAGTTTGAACAGCAGAGTTATAGTTCCACCAGTGTGAAGATGAAGGACCCACTGAGCAGCTGTACTGTAAGTCTATGCTAACTCTTACTTATGTGTTCAACTACTAACTTGATATCTGCTGGAGAAAATAATAGAGTACATGTAAAGAGGTGGTCAGTGTTGATAGTGGACGTCTCAGTTTAAAACAGACTTCTGACTCATTTACATTTACGTTCTCAAGAATTGATTATTATTAACTAGAAGAGTAACGTTTGTCAAGGCTTTAACCTAAAATCTTTTCCTTAAAAGTTCCACTTATAAGTTTTTTAAATCCTCTAAGTTTGAAAGTGTGGACAGAGACAGGCCGATTGATTAGAGGAAATTTCCGAGATGTTAGTGGTTGCTAGGGAGTTTTGTCTGGTTGCTAGGGTGTTTTGGTTCAAAGTGATTTGTTGCTAAGCAGTTACTGGGTGGTTGCTAGGACATTGCTGTTCTCTTGAACATTGGTGTTAGATTTCTAAAATGAAATATAAATGTTCAATGAAAAGCATTTAAAAAATCTGACTGTAAATGAAAAATAAAAAATGTTGCCAACTAACTGAAATAAGATAAGTCTGTGTAAGTACTAAAATTACTAAAACTTTACGTAATAAAATAAATAAAAAATAAATATTTAAAAATAAAAATATTTTTTTAAGAAATACTGTAAGAAAAAGAAACTTTAACACTTAAAAACTCATTTTAAGACAGACCGACAGACATATAGATACAACAATGGATGGATGGATAGATAGATAGACAGACAGATACAACAATGGATGGATGGATAGATAGATAGACAGACAGATACAACAATGGATGGATGGATGGATGGATGGATGGATGGATGGATGGATGGATGGATGGATGGATGGATGGATGGATGGATGGATGGATGGATGGATAGATGGATAGATGGATAGATGGATAGATAGATAGATAGATAGATAGATAGATAGATAGATAGATAGATAGATAGATAGATAGATAGATAGATAGATAGATAGATAATCTCGTGGTTTACTGCTTCATTAAACTGTATGGTTTGTTTCAGTATAATCTGCTATATCAGGACCTGAAGAGAATCTCTAAGAATGGCGAGTATTTCTGCAAAGAGCTCTTGGCCGTGTTTCAGCAAAGGTAACATACGAACTCTGCTCTCTTCTAACTTCTCCTTTATTGTAGTACTTGACCTCTATGGCTAGATCACATAAAGATACTCGGCTTTTCATTCTCAGGAGAAGAAAATGAAATGGAAAATAATATAATACTTCTCCTGAAAATGTGCTTAAAAAATGTTCAGGGCAGAATCTCAAAGACCCTCAGCTGGACCAATACAACTGAAGTGACACGGTTTCCTCTGAATTTAGATCTGAACTGGAGATCAACTATTCAAAAGGACTTCAGAAAATCGCAGGGAAACTCCTTAAAGTGTCGAAAGAGATGAGCGACAAGTGAGTGAGCACGTCTCCATCAAACCACTGATCTATATAATGACATTCTATATAGGTCAGACAGTGCATCAAACCCGGAGGTACTGGGATTTAGGAATCACTTCACATGAATAGAAACAGGGCGGTTTGCATTTCTAATGTCCGTATGATTTGTGCGATTTTTATTAAAACATGTAGCCTAAACTAAGTTAAATATAAAAAAAATAAAAAGAAAAAAAAAATTAATAAATTATGTTTTGATTTATAAAAAAATACAAATACATAAATGAAATGATTTTAGCAATAAATATTACAGGACGAAAGCTAGATACAATAAAATAAAACACTATTTAAATATATATATATATATATATATAGGCTATTAAAAAGAAAATGTATAGGGGCGGTTTCCCAGACAGAGAACTTTTGCTGATACCCCCATGTCATCCAAGATGTCGATGTCATTCTTTCTTCAGTCGAAAATAAATTAAGGTTTTTGATGAAAACATTCCAGGATTTTTTTCTCCATATAATGGACTTTACTGGTAACCAAACGGTTCAAGGTCGAAAAGACACTTTCAGTACAAACTGCAAACTGTTCAAAGGGCTTTAAACAATTCCGGACGATGAATAAGGGTCTTATCTAGCGAAACAATTGCTCATTTAAAAAAAATAATAACAAAGGTTAAGTTTTATAAGCTAAAATGCTCGCCTTGCTCTGTTCTGTGATGCGCGTTCGTGACTCTCCTGTTCGAACTCGTTCATCAAAATGAACGAATCCTTTCCCGAGACAACTCGTTCATTTTGAAAGAACCAAATGACACGAAAAAGATTCGTTCTTTTTATAAACGAGTTCGAACAGGAGAGTCAAGATAATTCTATATTAAGGCCTACTGTTGTTTTAATTTAAACCCTGTCCAGGAAACTCCCTAGCTTATGAATTGTTGCTGTTCATGTGAATTTTAGACTTGTTTGCAGTGTAATGTTGACTGCATCACCAGTGCAGGTTCATATGCTCATTGATAGTTTTTCCTCTTCAAAGCTCCACATATCGTGCGTGGTCCTTCATATCAGATGAAATGTACGCCTCGGCAGATGCTCACCGGTATGACACTACACTGGATGAGTACGCTCTTTTTATTATTCATGTGAGTTGCTGTTGTGTATTTATGGGCTTATTCTTTCAGCATACTGGGACATGCTCTCAACCAAGATGCTATTCAGAAAATCCGTCAAATCCTAGATGAACACGGCAAAAGAAAAAGACCGGTAGCACTTCATGTTTATGCAACGTATGCATACTGTATATTCATTTACAGCAGCATGTTTACATTAAGTCTTGTTTGTACACAGCTTGACAATGCCGTTGAAAAGTCAGGAAAGCTTGTTCTTACAAACTGGAGTGAGCAAATTAAGGTCAGAAAATACTGTGTTTTCTAATTCTGAGGTATCAAATCAAATGAACCCGATATTAAAAAAGGAATTCAGAAGCAGTTTTGCCACGAGGAGAATACGTTTTGAACAGAGATGTCTGTTTCTACAGCTGAAGAAGAAGCTGATCGGTTTGACTCGAGAACATGAAGCTCTCTTAAGCTTTGTGGAGAAAAATAAGCAAATCAGTACAGAGAAAGAAAAACAGAAGGTATTTGTGATTGTTCATTGACAGGGGGGGGGGAAACATATTTTTTACGGTAAAAAACGACAGCTGTGGTTGCCAGAACTTTACCGTCAAAAATACGGTAGCAGTGTTATTGGATTTACAGACTTAACTTAAAATTTATGACCGTATTTCATTATCTGACAAAATTTTTAATTTAATTTATAATTTAAAAAAAATGCAATAAACATTAATTTAATTGTGGGAATGACAATGCACGATTTTTCACTGTAAATTATACAATGATTTGTTCTTTTTCACTTTCAAAAACTGTAAATTTAACGGTATTTTACAGTAAAATTGCATTAAATGTACCATGAGATCTATCAGTTATATACCGTATAAAGTACAGAACCTTTCTGTTATCCGATTAACAGTTTTGCCTTTTACCGTTAAAAAATTATGATTATTTTTTTTACAGTGAATACAATTATGTTTGTGATATAATGCCGTTCGTTTTTGTCCAGATGTTTAACAGATTGACTAAATCAGCAGAGCTTCAGGCCAGAGTTGATGAGGAATACTTTAACACCAACATGGAGGGTCACCACATCCGTCTGAGGCTGGAGAACACACTGAAGACCTGCTACCAGGTTCAGGCTGTTTTCATCATCTTGATATTTTTATCCTCTTTTAGCCATTACATTTTGACTGATTCAGTGCTGCATTTCAGATCGTCCAGGAGCTAGAGAAGCAGAGAATAGAGACTCTATCCGATACCCTAAACAAGTACAGCCTCTTCATGACTGTATACGCACAGACCGTCATTCACGTGAGCACTGTCTTTCAATTCAGGAGTGTGAATTTGAATTAAAATGGCCACAAACTGTACTTTTATAAAGTACTGTACTTAAAAAAAAAATTATTTACTTTTGTCATACAGTACCATAAAATTAGGGCTGTCAAACAATTAATCGCCATTAATCGCATCCAAATAAAAATTTGTGTTTGTCAAATATATGTGGGTGCACTGTGTATAATTATTTTATATATATATATATATATATATATATATACACACACACATACTTGTATATATTTAAGAAATATATTCATGTATATACTATATATAGATTTATATATAATTTATATTATATATAAATAATTTATATATAAATATTTTTTTCTTAAATATACATGCATGTGTGTATTTATATATATATATATATATATATATATACATATATACATACATGCATGTATATTTAAGAAAAAAATATTTATATATAAATTATATATAAATATTATATATATAATTATATATATATATACAAAATAATTATACACAGTGCACCCACATATATTATATAAACACAAACTTTTATTTTGGATGCAACTAATCATGATTAATCGTTTGAGAGCCCAACACAAAATGTCCACAATTACACTTACAATGGCTATATACTTTAGTATTTGGTTTAAAATTGTTTTAATTATTTAATATTTAGACAAATTTTAATACTTTAACCTGAAATTAACCTGCTTCCGTTCCATGGTGTTAAATCAGTTAAAAGGTCATTCCAGATATAATGCAAATATATGTAAAAAAAATAAACGGTAACACTTTACAATAGGGTTTCATTCATTAACATGAACTAACAATAAAAATACTTTTAAATCATTTAGAATGTCATACATTATCTAATGTGATCCTCGTTTGGATTTTTATTGAAGTATTAAACTGACTTTTAGATATTTTTTGGTGGCAGAGTCACAAACAGATCGAGCAGGCCGTACGGAGGGTTGATGTGGAGAAAGACATTCAGTCACTGGTCGAGGATGTTGGCGCTACAGCGGACGAGAACAAAGCTGAATTTCTCTTGGCTGACTACTTCGTAAGTCTTTGAGTTTATAGCACACATTCATGTGGAAGGAATTTTTAATGAAATGGGTTGTTTGTGTGTGTGTGTGTGTAGGAGGAAGAAGGAAAAACAGTGATGGGAAAAGACAGAAGGAAAGATGGCATCAGGACCAAGCTTCAGCGTCTAGAGGACTGCATCACAAAAACTAAAAGCGACAGAGAAGGTCTGGATCTTCTAGGCTGGGATTTATTTCTTGTCTAAAGGGGGTGCTAAAATAATTGAAACGTGTCCTTCAACATCCAGCATTTAAATTATTTAATTTTCCATTTTACCTTAGAACTATAAACTCACAAGGTCACATTGTAAAGTGAACCGTTATTAAGCATGTTTTCAATTTCTTTATTATCACCGTATCAGCTCTTTGAATCAATAATGGTTTATTGAAACCTGCCGGCTAGGGTTGGGTATCGAGAATCGAGTATCGATTGGAACCGGGACTAACTTTTCGTTTTTCCCGTAATCGTTCAAAAGTTAAAATTTTGATTCCTAGTTTCGATATTCACAGTCCGCCGAGCGGAAGAAGAAACCGCTGAACAACACCAACGAAGAAGCGTCTACCGGAAGTGTTGGCATAACCACGCGAGTCGAACATGAGTACCTTACGTCGGCGATCCAAAGTGTGGCTTCACTTTTCTAAAAATAACGAAATATCGTCAAAATGCAAAATTTGTGACAAAAGGAGTATTTTTACAGAAAGAGTATTTCCTTCAGAAAGGCCGTTGGTTAGCAAGGTTAGCTAAACTTTTTTGACCCTGCCTCTTAAAAGAATCGGAATCGAGAATCGTTAGGAACCGGAATCGAAACAAGGAATCGGAATTGGAATCAGAATCGTTCAAATTCAAACGATACCCAACCCTACTGCCGGCTGACATTCCCAACCTCTTAGCAGAAGAGATAATGAGTGCTTTAAATCTGCAGTGAGTGAACCAATGCGTTTGTGCTTTTGGTGAATCTGAATGTAGTGTTTACATGAATGCTAAACAAGTGATCGGTTGATCTGTGTTTAAACATTGCTAAGAAAATTCCCGCTCCTGGATCACTTCAAAAAAACTTCAAAAAGCTCATAGAGAGATTGTAAAACTAATCCATATGAATTGAAAGGTTTAGTCCAAAGACTTGATTGCTTTATATGGTGATGAACAGATTTAATTTAGGCTTTAAATCACATATAAACAGCGAAAATAAACAGAAGCTCAACCGAACGTGCTTGACACACAAGAATGAACCTCATTGGTTCTTGCGGAAGCTCAAACGTGCCACAAAACACAAGAATGAACCTCATTGGTTTTTGCTGAAGCTACTACTTTAGTAGAGGACATCAGAGATTTTTTTTATTTTAAGTGTGATATGAGCCCTTTAAATAGAACTGGTTTATTCCTCAGAGATCTTATTAGGTGGTTCTGTCCTGTTATATTGTTCACAATATATGACATCTAGCTCAACGCTGACACAAATCTGGTTTTCAGGTTTAGAGAAAATGGTTAAAGTAAACACAGAACAACCAAACTTCTCAAACAAAAAAAACCTGGAGGAAACAGAACAGTTACTGGACGAGGTGAGATGTTACATTTCATTCCAATGTTTCGCTAAATTTTAAGTATTTACTTTACTTCGATTCTTTTTTTTTCAAAAATCAGGTTAAAATGACATTTTCATTCAGACTTTTTGACCCCACTGTGTTTATCAAAAATGTAGTATTCAATAAATAGGTTTTAACAAATCAAAAACTGATTGATCTCTCTCGATAGGCCATCCTCAAACTGGACCTTTTAGAGGCGACGCACTGCAAACTGACTCACTGTCTGGCGGAGTTAGAGGGAAAACCCAAATCAAGACATCGATTCAGTGACAGCATCACTAAATGGAAAGAAAGGGTGAGTTTTACACATCCTACCTTAACCAACAGTTCAGTTCTAGACGCATTATTTTGTTTGTTGAAATAAAATTGACGGTAATGATACACTATGTAACTTTTGGCCCTCTAGCGGCTAAAAAATAAAATGGCATGCGTTGCGGAAGAATAAGTTTTGGTTGTGTTTTAGCTCTGCATTGAATGTTTTTTTCTTATAACTACTACAACTACGGAAGCCCTGAACCGCAACCAAAAAAAAAATAAAAAAATCTGTCAAAAAAATATAGCATTTCGAGATTAAAGTCGAAACATTTCGAGATTAAAGTAAAAACAATTAGAGATTAAAGTCGAAACATTTCAAGAGTAAAGTCAAAAAAATTCTAGATTAAAGTGGAAACATTTCGAGATTAAAGTCGAAACATTTCGAGATTAAAGTAAAAAAAATTCTAGATTAAAGTGGAAACATTTCGAGAGTAAAGTCGAAACATTTCGAGATTAAAGTCGAAACATTTCGAGATTAAAGTCGAAACATTTCGAGATTAAAGTCGAAACATTTCGAGAGTAAAGTCGAAACATTTCGAGAGTAAAGTCGAAACATTTCGAGAGTAAAGTCGAAACATTTCGAGAGTAAAGTCGAAACATTTCGAGATTAAAGTCGAAACATTTCGAAAGTAAAGTAAAAAAAATTCAAGATTAAAGAAACATTTCGAGATTAAAGTCGAAACATTTCGAGTTTCACACTGTATGTGTGTGTGTGTTGAGGAAAAGCATTTGGCTACCATTATAGGAGTGAAATTAAAATGAATTCAAAATATTAAAATATAATAAGATCTTAATTATAATATAATACCACTGAATTTTAGTAAAACTATTATTAGCATGCATTTGAATCAAATATATATATATATATATAGATTTAAACTCTTAAATCATCCTTAGCTGATTCTGATTCATGAAAAACCACCACTAAACATGTAAGTCTTGATGAATCCAGGACATGGAAAGCAATAAAAACACAAGTGGGTTAACTGAGAAAATAGGTCAACGCTAGTTTAGCATCATATTTTGTTTATACACTTTGTTGACTGTAATATATATGTATCCCCAAGGCTGCAGGGTGGAGAGAGACAGTATCACAATTTTTGGAAACCAGGTTTAGCTAAAAACATCCATGTTTCACGAGTTTTTAAATTCTATGGGATTTTGCTCCAGGACTGTGAGCACAGCGTAGTGCAGCTTTCCCGGCCTATGAGGATCAGAAAGACTCCGTTCAGATCCCGTCAGTCCATGAGGACCAATAAGAGTGCGCTGACCAACCAAAGCCCTGATAGGACAAGCAAAGAGCCCTTGAATGAGACGACCAAAGTCGATGATCAACAGAGTGGTCCGGTTAATGGGTGCGAGACTGAATCTGAAGAGGATAAAGGTGAACCGCGAGCCACATGTGTTTATCTTCCCTTCCATTCAAGGATTTTCTTAACACACAAACTGATTTATTAAACAGGTGCAGAATTCTGCTCAGTCGGCAGATGCAAGGCTTTATACAGCTTTACGTCCGAAAGAGAGGACGAGTTAAACATTACTGAAGGTAATATGGCAGTTCATCTTAATACATCATCCCTCAGCACCTGCTTTCTGTTGACTCTCCCTCTTCAATCTGGCAGGGACGTACTGGACATCTTTCAGAAGGACGACACGGGCTGGTGGTTCGGTGAGCTGAACGGACAGAGTGGACATTTCCCTTCCACGTACGTCGAAGAGCTGCCCGTTTTTACTGCGATGAAGTCATCCGAAGCTTAGCTTTAAAAGAGCATGTGAAAGAAAAAGGTCACTGACCTCAGTGCCACTGAATTATGATTCATTCATGCTGTAGAGTTAAACACACTTTAAACGAATTACTTTCCCATGACCTTTCCATGTGATTACAGGAAAAAAGACTTTTGAAAATCATTCAAATTAATAATTTCAACAGATTCACGGACTCACTGACAAATCACACATTACTACTGCTTATGTGTAGTGTTACGGAATATCTAGCCGAGTAAATAAATATTTTAGAGCAGTGCATAAAATGTAATATATTAAAATAAATTTGCTACAAAAATTCCAATTAAGTCTGGAAAGACTTTTTTAGGGCTGCGCAAAGATTAATTGCGATTAATCACATCCAAAATAAGTTTGCGATTACATAATATATTTGTGTTTGCTGTGTATAAATATTTTGTATATATAAATACACACATGCATGTATATATTTAAGAAAATGTTATTCATATATAAAATATTTATATTTAAAGTAGATTATGTACTATATATATATATATAGTATTTACATGCAAATAACTCCTAAATATATACATGCATGCATATGTATTTATATATACAAAATAACTATATACAGCACACATACATCGATGTAAACACAAACTTTTATTTTGGATGCAATTAATCTTTGCACAGCACTACTTATTTATATATATATTCTTTTAAAATGTCATGATTTCAAGTGTTTCAAGACCATGGGAATCCTATCAATGAAATACAAGTGTGTGGATATAAAACATTTGATCAAAATCTATTGTATTGTGAAAAAAAAAATCGATTTTATTTGCACAGTAATAAACCACAAAATGCAAATGGTTTAGAACTTCTTGTCACTGTAGTATAAAACTAAATTAAGACATTTCAAAGCACTTTTTTAAAAACCTTTGTTATGTTTATTGCTAAAATTACCAATCAATAAATGAATGTACAAAAAATGTAAAGGTAAATAAAAGCTCAATATGCTTAGTAATGATATCTACAAATATTGTGTCTGGGTCTGACTGCTTTAAATGGATCATCGGTCAGGCCATCTTTGCACCACTGTGAAGCGCCACAAACTCTCTGCGGACGTTAGCGAGGAAGGCGGAAAAGTTGTTGGTCTCCTGCAGTCTGCGTTCTAGATGTGCCATTTTCTCCAATGGAGGGTCACAAGAGATGACTGAGAGGAAATATAATCACGTTATTCAGTGCTGTCTTTTGTCAGTCTTGCAAATTATACAATGTTTAAAAAGATAGGACTCAGTAGGATTGGAAAAAAAAATCATAATAATCTTTAACTCAGCAAGGATATGAAATTGAACAAAATTGACAGTAAAGACATGTACAATGTTAAAAAAGATTTAGATTTTTAAATTGGTTGCCACTAAAATATTAAACTGTTTACAACATTGATAATAATAATAAATGTTTCTTGAGCAGCAAATCAGCATATAATGATTTCTGAAGGATCACGTGACACGGAAGATTGGAATAAATTACATTACAGTTTTCAATGTGTTTTCATCTAATAAATGCAGCCTTGGTGAGCATTAGAGACATTTTTCAAAAATGTTCTTTTAAAACCGTAAATGTAAAAGATAAATGGCCTTGAAAGTGCTTGAATTTATTTTGTGCAAAACATTTTCTGGAAAAAAAATCCATATTATTCCCTTAATGTCCGTTAATGTGTTATTTCGCCAACACTGTGGCCTATCCATACAAGCTTTCTTCATTTATGTTAGTTTACATGTTAGTTAGTTTATGTTAGTTTTTCATTTCAGCACATTTACATGTTACATTGTGTTTCCTGCGTGAGGTACTTTGTGTTGTACAATGCCATGACGTTCACGCGCGCACAAAACTACTATGATGGTATCGTAACGTTTACGTTTGTTATTAGACACAACACATGTGTGTCCCACATTAAGTCCTTGAATTTGAGAGTATTGGACCTGAAAAGACCTTAAAAGATCCTGCTGGGGCCTAATCAGAAAATCAGGTTTAATTTAACCAAGAAACAAACAAAAACAAAAAAAATCACGGATGAAAAACAGACCAGAAGATTAATACTTACTGTGGTAAACGCCCTCTGCATCAAGCTGGAGGAGGAACGTGTGGACCATGTCTGGATCTTTACGACTGATGTTCCTGAAGACAAACTGCAGCTTCTCACCTTCAAATTAACAGATGTTGGTGATACACCATCAAAACTTGCATCTCCAAGTATGAGACAATTATAAAAATGCTTTAATTTTTCTCAAAAATTATAGAATCAACAACAAAAAAAAGATTGAAAAAGCTCAACTAAAACTGGAAACATTTTCATTAGTGATCTAGAAATAGTAAATGTTTTTCAAAATCCTAAACTTTGTTAATTTCCAGGTTTGATTCATACTTTTGAACCGCAATCTATTTGAATGACGTATTTAACACATGATGAAAGAAAAAACACCAACTTTACCTTGGATTTTTCTGATCTCAAGACTGAGGTGTTTCTGAAAGACGTCTTTACACTTGTTCAGCTTCTTCAGTCTGTCCTTGTTGGCTTTGTTTTGGGACTGAATCACTATAAAACAAGCATTAAGGACATCAGCAATAATAAACCTTTGTCTGTTGTGACTATCACATGCAGTAAATTAAGTTAAATTAAACCGCTCGTTTCGTGTCTCAGGCCATCAATGTGTACTTACATTTACGAGTCATTAAATCATGTTTAATTTGGACTTCTCTGTGCATGCTCTTTGAGGTGGTGACCATAGACCTGCATTATATGACTGACAGACAAGAACGCTTTGACCTAAAAATATCAAAATTGAAACTACTGCGGAAATAAAGACACCTACATCTTGGATGCCCTTGAGGTAAGCTAAAATATATCAAAAATTTATTTCAAAGTGAACTATTCCTTTAACGGATAACTATCTTTCCACCTCCTTTATTTTAAGTGTAAACCATTAAGGCCAGGATGATACACCAAGCCAACAGTCAGACGCCAGGCAATGCCAGGCTGTTTTTAAGCGTCGGTCAGCTTATTTTTTTCGGGTTAAATCAGCATTGGGCCGTCTGTGAAAGAGTTTTGATTGGCTATTCAGCTAACAGAACGAGTCAGAGCACGGGAATAAAAGTGATGAATGCGGGCAAATAAGTCAAGACGGTACAGACAGAAAGCATTTATAATTTTATGTCATCTTACCTAATCATTTGAATGCACAAATATTTTCATAATAACATGAGCCGACTAGAATGAAAAAAGTGATTGATATTCAAAATGTTAAGCGTTCACTGTCGTGTTTACTGTTTGTGTATCTGCAGTCCTAGTTTTTTGGCTTGGTGTCCCGGGTTTTACACATCAACATAAAGGCTATGACAGTGCGTGAGAGGAAAGAGAGGCCTACACACATTCCCTGTTTCTGGCCTGATCCTTCTTGAGCTTGTCAATTCTCTGAAATAGGAGTGCTTTGTGATGCTCCTTGTCTTCAATCTCCGACACAACCTCAAGCTGTTCAGCACTCTTTTCTTTCAGTAAAGATGATTTCTCCTTCAAATCTTAAAAAAAAACAAAAACAATATAGTCTTTCAACTGCAGATGGCATGTACTGTATATTAAAGTGTCAAACTATTGTGCCAGTCAACAAATTACCTTGTTTGTAAGCATGTATCATGTCAAACATGGTTTCATCCTCCTTACATTTCTTAAAGCAAGTATCTGTAGGAAAAAAATAAATAAAAATCAACATTTATCAAACTTATCAAATTATCAAATTTATCAAAAAATCATATAAATATTTGATGTGTAAATGCTTAATTTTATGCTCAAAGATCTGTAATTAATAATGAACAAAGCATAATGCAATGATAACTGAGCAATGGACTAATCATATTTGTTTTACACGTTAAGACAATTTTTTTCTAAAAATGATGCATGTATAATCAAATAAACCTAACTTGGTCACTAACTTTGTGAAATATTAAAACGTTTCAACAACATAAAAGTTATTTTTATGTTTACTATTAAAGATTTCATGGCAAAAAGAAACATGAACCACAATGTGTATGTTTTACAATTATACTAAAAGGCCTTTTATTAGCTAAAAAAACATAAACTATCAGACACAGAAGGCATGTAGTAGATTGTGTGGAACAGGTTTTAGATCATTTTGGTCATTTCGAGGCCCTTATGTATAAAATATGATATAGTATGCTTTAAGGTTAAACCAAACAAATTGACCCTTTTAATGCATGTTCTTGGTCTTGTTCAGGTTTCATAAGTGCTTTTTATTCCATATGTTGAATTGTGAATATCATGAGTTGCCTATGAATTTTTCAATTCAAAGAATTGTCCATAAAAACAACCATGAATACAGAAATTACGGCCTGGTTTCACAGACAGGGCTTATATTAAGTTACATTAGCACATTAAAGTAGCTTTTATAAACATGCCTGAAGACAAAACATTACTGGTGTGCCCCTTGAGACAAAACAATGACAGCCAGTGACATATTTTAAGATATCAGTGCAAGTTGCTTTCAGTTAAAACAGCTCAAACATGCAGTTTGGTCTAAGACTAGCTTAAGCCTTGTCTGTTTGTCACAATATTTATGCCCATCTAAACTCAAACCATGATGGCAACCACAAAACGATTCTGTGGATCTCTTACCCAAGACAGACTTCATGTACTGCCTGTGTTCCTGACAGAGCTCCGCAGCCCGGTCATTGAGCACCTCTGCCATGGCCTGATCCAGAAGTTTGGTCCTGATCTCCTCCAGTCGGCTGTTGAACTGCTCCACTACATTATAGTCTCTGATAGACGCCATGCTGAGCTGAGAAATCATCCAAACACACAAACACAATGACTGTTACTAGTAGCTAACGTTACCATCGCAGTCTGCTCACATTCAGGGCATGTTTATTGATTTCTTTATGTTTATATATATGACATAACGTTACTGTCAGTCTAACGTTACTCTATTCTACCACAATATAATAATTCAATACAATATCAAATTAGCAAACACAGTAATCAATAACACTTCAGAGCGATTTAATTTTCATATTTTTTTCTTCATTTTTATGCGCTGAAACTGAAGATGATATTGATTAAATGTTATTTTAATAAAAGCACAGTACATTTAAATCACTTACCCGTTTTATGAAATGAAAATAAACGCAAATGTATTCGTCTTGTTTTCAAAAATCGGCGCCTGGACCGTCAGTTACACCGGAAATGGCGTCACATAAACGCGTCGTCATCATAACTACAAAATAGCGGCATGAAATTTTCTTTGTTGTTTGTCCCATGCTATGCCAACTGCTCATAGTATACATTGTAAACTCTGAAGTATGCATTTTATTTTCCCTCAAAATGCTAGGTTTGTGTTATTATCTTATATTTTCCCTTAAATCAGTCAGAGTCCCTTTGATTCAGTACAGTAGTAATGCTGCGCCATCTAGTGTAGTTTAAGCTCTACTGCACACTGGAATGTACGAGGTGTCATAGACGGGCTCTGGAGGTGTGCTGTTTCTTTCATGTAGGACATTCTGTAGCCTACATTTTAGCACATATTACATGTTTCTCATCAGGAACAGGAAAACATCACAAATGGGCATATTATTGTAGCTAATTCTTTGTTCTGTTGATGTAGCTACTCTGATGTATTCCATCATGTATAATCAAAAGTAGTGTATGTACACCTCCCTCTGGTGGACAGAGGATTAGCTGACCACAAATGTGCTTCGAGTATAAATAAAACAATAATCAATTTATTGTTATATAAATGCAGCATTGTAGCCTATATTTATAATACGTAATTTTACAGTATTTTAGAGTAGAAAATACTTTTATTTTGTCATTAAAAATTTGTATGACAGCTTTGTGACCATACAATTTCTACCGTCTAGACATTAAACAAGCAATAGGCTAAATAAATAATGTCATGCTATTGTTGCTAAACTAAATGAGCACAGTTTACTTAAAAGGTCCTCATTGAAGTTACCTGAACTGTCTAAATACTACTAAAATAAGCCAATATGAATAGTTCTGAATGTTTTTCATAGACTAGACATAAAGGTCTTTTTAATACATTGCCTATGAACAAATCATGGGGAAAAAGCATCTGCAGAGTGACAGACAGACAGACAGACAAAAAAAATTACAAATAGATCACACATGACACAACAGATAACAATGACTAAGCATTAACATATCAGGGATTAAGAACATGTTATCAGTCCACTTCAATTGCCACTATAGTTCAAGGACACCATATCTTCAGCTACTAGTAAATTGCTGATGTAGTAATGTCTAGAACAGGCAGAAACTGTACAAGCTTTTTGCACAAATCAGTTGTTTAACATACAGAGGTCGACTCATCCAGGTTGACTAACCGCACATTAAATAAGTATAATTTAAGCAAAGTGAAGTTCAAGTATATAGTCATGACATATGATAATACAAACACACATCTCAATATATACATATCAATAAACACCTCAACAATTGTAATCTCCTTAAGCGGCCCGACTGGATCAGACAAGCCAACACTGGCTCAAGTAATGGCGTGAGTTTGAAGCAGGACTATAAATCTTGTCCAAATATTAAATAATTTTTAGCTAAGAGTGGCCCCTGTGGTGACAAGTTTGTAGTAAGCTGCTTTCTTAGCCATGAGCTCCTCGTGGGTCCCTTTCTCGATTACCACCCCCTGTGACATCACAGCAATGATGTCAGCGGTCTGAATGGTGGAAAGCCTGTGGGCTATGACGATACACGTGCGTCCCAGCCGAGCTTCATCCAACGCTGCCTGAACAGTCTGAAGATTCAAAATCCAACGCGTTTTGTGCATTAAAAAGTATTCAAAAATACTGACAATATAGTTAAAAAGTGTAAATTGATATTGTTTTACCTTCTCGCTCTCAGTATCGAGCGCAGAGGTTGCTTCATCCAGTAGCAGAATTTTAGGGTTTCTGACGATGGCTCGTGCGATCGCTATACGCTGTTTCTGTCCGCGGGACAGCTGAGAGCCTTGAGCACCAACCTGAGTTTCATATTTCTGAAAAACACTATAGGGTTAAGCAATAATTTCTACAATTCAACTGTACTTAAAGGAGTAGTTCACTTTAAAAAAAAAAAACTTTTGCTGATGATTTACTAACCCCCATGTCATCCAAGATGTCCATGTCTTTCTTTCTTCAGTCGAAAAGAAATTAAGGTTTTTGATGAAAACATTCCAGCATTTTTCTCCATATAATGGACTTCAATGGGGTCCAAACGGTTCAAGATCCAAAAGACATTTTCAGTGCAAAATGCAAAATGTTCAAAGGGCTTTAAACGATTTCGAACGATGAATTCAAGTCTTATCAAGCGAAACGATCGCTCATTTAATAAATAAATAACAAAGTTTAAGTTTTATAAGCGTAAATGGTTGCTTTGCTCTGTTCTGTGATGCGCGTTCGCGACTCTCCTGTTCAAACTTGTTCATCAAAATGAATGAATCTTATTCCGAGTCGTCTGGTTCATTCAATGAACGAAACAAACGAATTGACTCGAAAAAAGATTCGTTTATTTTGATGAACGAGTTCGAACAGGAGAGTCCCGAACGTGCATCGGTAGTACAGAGCAAGGCGACCATTTATGCTAATAAAACTTAAACGTTTTATTTATTTATTAAATGAGCGATCGTTTCGCTTGATAAGACCCTTATTCATCGTTTGGTGTCATTTAAAGCCCTTTGAACAGTTTGCAGTTTGCACTGAAAGTGTCTTTTGGACTTTGAACCGTTTGGTTCCCACTGAAGTCCATTATATGGAGAAAAATGCTGGAATGTTTTCATCAAAAACCTTAATTTCTTTTCGACTGAAGAAAGAAAGACATGGACATCTTGGATGACATGGGGGTGAGTAAATTATCAGTAAACGTTTTTTTAAAAGTGAACTACTCCTTTAACACTCTAATGCCAGTCATGTGAATTAATTGGCAGAAAAATCAATGTGTTTTATATTATTGCAAAAATATGCAAATTGGTGCAGTTACTGATATTTATATGGACAAAAAGTAAGATGAAATCTGATAGCTTGTAATATCAATCAATGAGATTTGTATGACAGTATAACAGACATAAAATACATAAATGTCACTATTTCACCAGATTTAAGCATGTCTTAGTATTGCATTGCATTATAAGTTTTGGGCCCACAATAAAAACTACAGAGCTCTGATCATAAAACCAAGCATTTAAATATTATCTCACTAAGATGATTGAGAAATGAACAGATAAACTTTCCTCAAAAGCCTGATGATCATATGTGATCCTCACATTTTAACATGTTTTATCTTAAAAGAAAAAAACAAGTAATCCTTCAGTAAATGTTCAATTGAAATATTACTAAAAATCATTAAGATTAAACAGCAAAAAGACACGTGAACCACAAGCAAGAAGGTGGATGTTTTTAATTAAACTAAAATGCCATTTATTTGCTTAAAAAAAATGAACTATCAATCAGACGACATGTAGATTGTGTCCAACAGGCTTTTCAGCAAACCTCTAGATCATGTCGGTATCGAGACATTGTTTTAACCCAATAAAGCATACTATTTACTTATTGTGCAGAATTCATCAGTGCTTGCTTGTTATTCCAAATTTCATAATCAATCATCAAAATGTAATTGCCCCATCAATTTCCTATTTGTATCAATAGTGCATGACCACTGGTTAGTAAAGTGTATCTAACCGACCCTATATTTTTTGTTTTACATGTAAATGCATTAGATTACAAACAATAAAATGGGCGAAGAACATTTCATGTCAACTGTGAGCCAAATTAAACTTGATGAGTGCATTAAAATTGTTAGTCATGATGAAAAGGAATGCATAACTTACATCAGGAAGTGTCATCACAAAATCGTGCAGATAAGCCTTCTTAGCGGCGTCTATAATCTCCTGCATGCTCACGGTGCGAGAGTTATCGCCATACTGGATATTCTCTGCGATACTGCAGTCGAACAGCACTGGCTCCTGGGATACAATCCCAATCTGAGACCTCAGAAAGGGAACGCTGATGCTCTCAGATGGACGTCCGTCGATCAGCTAGGGCGATAAGAGCGAGTCATGGTTTGATTTTTGATCTTTACATTTGTCAGGAAGGGAAATTGCTTCCTAATTAGAAACAATTCAAAATTTTATGTAGCGTCCTCACCAGTGTTGGGTGTAACTAATTACTAAGTAATTAGATACTGTAATTTAATTACATTTCCCTTAAAAATGTAAAGTAAGGGATTACTCTTCATTTGTGTAATTTAATTACAGTTACTTCTGATGTAATTGAGGTAAATACTGTGTATAGATCAATCCAATCTCACAGCGATTCGTATGCATTTTATGAGGTGTCTAAATATTACGACCGCACTCGTACAAATTCGTATGAATTATTGTAAAATATGTATGAAAAAAGTGTGAAATGTCATGAGATCAGACATAAAACAAGAGTGGGTTTAACATCAAAATGTATTGTCTGATGCTAAAAAGTATGTTTTTATAATGTAACCTTCACCACCTTGGGATAATTTATGCATTTTTATAGAATTTATTTGAAAGAATTAAAGCAGATTCATGTCTATCCCTGTATTGATATGGGATTTTGAAAGAAATTAGTAATTAAAAGTAATTAAATACTTTTTAGAGAGAGTAATTAGTACAGTAATCTAATTACACTGTTGAAGAGGTAATTAGTAACTAGTAATTAATTACTTTTTTAGAGTAACTTACCCAACACTGGTCCTCAGCTTATGAGTATGAAAGATTTTTTGAGATTTTTTTAACAGTAGCTGCAGTTCCTTTAGTTAACGCCATGATTATTTTAAAACAGATGTTTGAATCTGGCAATAAGTTAAGCCATTTGAGGGGAAATGCATTAAATAAGCAGTAAATGGTTTCATACCACTTGTCCCGCATCTGGGTCGTAGAATCGCTGCAGTAGTTGAACGCTGGTGCTCTTGCCGCAGCCGCTGCTGCCCACAAAAGCAAGAGTCTGCCCTGGATGTACTGACACCTCCAGCCCCCTCAAAACCTGGGTGTCTGGCCTGCTGGGATACGTGAACCTGCACCCTTTAAATTCCACTCTGCCCTTAAAGTCATCCTGTAACAGAATGGAAGATGGCAAAAATAGTCATCAATATTATTTTTGTTGTCCTGTCCTACCTAATAAATACTGAACATTTTAAAGAATATCTGCTAGACGTAAATACCGGCAACTTTT